CTTTTCACAAAAAACTCTTATAAGAATAACTATAAACATGAAATTTGAAGCTCATTTACCCAGAGAGTGTTTTCAAGATACAGCATTGGAAGTTGTTTGAAGCATTTCCACTCACAAATGCAATAACATATACATATCCTGGAAATGTGCATATTAATGACGTGAAAGATATTTCAAAAAATATATATTTGCATAATTCTTGAAGAAAACAAAAGATTACAGCAAAATGACTTTTGCACCATCTTAAACAGTGTATTAAACACTATCCATACAAAAAATTAAAGAAAAAATTTGGAGCTGTTTTCAAGCAAATGACGTTTGAGAATTTTTGAAAATGGGCTATTTTTTTGAGTTTTAGAGAATCTTTTTAGGATATCATTCAAAGCATATGTACACATAAATGTGAATAAATTTCCCTTAATGTGGATATTACCTATGTGAGAGAGAAATCAAAAATAATTGTGTGATTTTTGAAAAAACAAAAGAATATAGCCAAATGGCATTTATATCATCTTATGCAGTACATTTAGCACTATCCCTATTAAATGTTTAAAGAAAAAATGTGGAGCCTTTTTGAGAAATTCTAGTTTCCGGTATTTTTTAATATTAAAACATGGCAGAAAACTACTAAAATTTTCAAAAAATGTACATGATCTTAATGAAATAACTAATTATGGAGAGAAAATTTCATTCAAAGGAAAAATCTCTACCTTCCATTTTGTAGTTGTAGAAAGACACCAAAAAAAAAAAAAAATCTTTTACTATTTTCAAAAATGTAGAGTTAACATTGAAAATCAGACCTATTCCCCCTTTATAAGTGCATTTCACTCTATTGTTGCAAGAAATTTGAAGAAAAAAATTGGGAGCAATGCTTAAGAAAATTTTGAAAATGTCCAGGGGCTTCATGTAAAGTACCCTCAAAATTTAAAGAATGTTTTTCAAAATTGCAGAGCTTTGAGTGGAGTCAGATCGATTGGGAAATATTAGTTTTGGTAAACAATCATACGAATAATTTAGGTGCTAGTGCTGTTCACAGATTGCCAAATGTTTTGAAGAAGAAGGAAAAAAAACAACAACAATTTTTCTGGATCAAGGTCCCACTTGAATAACTACTAGCTATTCTATTCAATTGGTGCAAGAAAAACCTGAAATCGTAAACGAAGGTAAGCCTCAGTTACCTGCTGCCAACTACAATAAAAATCATTGGTTAACTGCATCCACAACAAATAACAGTAGGTATGTTCACATTTCATTTAGTATTAAGCACATTATCATTACACTCTAAGGGAATAAAAATTCATTACGTGCTTCGACTATCTTCATATTCATTTGCAAAATGTTCTAAATGAAATGTCTAAATATCATAATGATCATTCCAATATTTGTACATGGGTTATAATTTATGGAAATGCCTAATAGCAGAGCTGGCTGGCTGACCGGCATCTGGGCAATTTCAGATATGGCTCTTTATGAAAGGCATATAATTACATCAGTGAAACGGTGGTCCCTAGAGCCTTTGAGAAGCAGATGCAATGAATTTTTACTTTCCCTTAACAGGCAATACTACTGTACAACACATTTGTTCTTCACTTTTTCTTAGGGTATTGATGACCAATTAATACAATTATATATTTAGTTTTAAAATATATAAAACCCATCATTTATTTGTTATTTATCTACATATAATTTATTTTCATTATTTACAATTTTGATTATGAACAATGATTAATCTCTTGTTTTTCAATACATTGAACCCAGAATAGCCCAGACCTTACAGTCAGGATACCCACAGATCCCTAACAATTATTCACTTAATTTTAAATGAACACTTCATTGACTCGTATAGTACATTGACAATTTAGATTAAATTGTACCTTGTTATCACATGTTTCTTTCACTTATCAATGGATTCAAACCTATGGCCTTAGTCGAAAGAGTTTGGAGAGTATGGGTACTGAGAGCAATCCTCATGATTCAGAGGATAGTTTCTCACAGAGGAAATCCAGATCTCTCTCCTCTATGGTTGAATAATAAACATAAAACTTTAAAGCAAAAATTCACCATTTTCTTATTACTATTTTAAATTCTTCAAGCATGACAAGTAATCTTTGTTCAAGTAAAAACAAGAAAGAAGATGGTCATCTTGGTATTGGATACCCTTACCGAAGCATCCCTGCACCTTAACGGTTATGCTATTCCAATTGCAGTCCCATGTAGTCATTCACCATATTCTAATGGGAACAAATTCATTCCTTCATGTTTGTTACGATAAGGGAAATGAGCCAATTTTGCTAAACATAGTCACACAACATCATTCTCATTTTTTTTACAACCACATGTCCTATATTCAAATTGAATGAATATTACAGTTTTAAATCATATCACTAGTACAACATGAATACTTTTTCATAAACTAATGCAATGCTAATGTTTAATGGGCAACATAGCAAAATAAAGAGAAGTATGCCAAAATCACATTTATTTTTTCCTCAAAAATTATCAGAACAACACAGTATGCTACATTCACATAAAGAAATTCAAAGTCTTAGATAAAACAAAACATAACATTGTTTTCCCAAACTAGTTCAACTGTTCTTTGTAATGAATCACTTGCAAATGCTTCTCTAAAATTTCTTGAATTTCTGTAGAAGCAATGAAAAATTGTATAATGAAGATTACTTAACTTTCTGTACACTGACAATTGATTTATCTTTGTGAATTTACCAAGTTTGAAAGAAACCCAAGTCATGTAAAAAAAAACACTTGCAACACAGCATAAAACACATTGCATTATATGACACAGGAAGACTTGTAATAACACACAATATCAGCCTTGAACAAATCTTCAGATTGTAAATATATATTTGAAACAAAAATGGATATCCAAAAATTGATTTTGAAACATAAATCAATGGGTAAAGTAAAAAAGTATTCTGCAAAACGATATATCTAGGTCTTTTCAAAACTACAACAAATTTACACAAGATAGCTGAACTCAAAAATTCACAAAAATTTAACAGTAATTCAGAAACTGGTATAATTACAGACACAGATAAGTAATCTTTTTCTGCATTGCTACATTAAAGAGCATGTTGCAACAATTCCATTGCTACATGAAACAGCATCTTGTAATAATTCCAGTCTAAAATAATTTATAAGTTCAGCAACATAAGAAAGTTATTCCTCGCAAAGACATGTATTTGTTGTAGCATTTAAATAAGTTCATAATACCTGGACCCTTTTAAGACACTACAGTAGAATCTCGTAATTTTTTAATATTGTTCAGGATATTCTAAAAAAAGAAGTACCCACAGAAAAGGTGCATTAGCATGTAAATCTATACACAGTATGTGTGTTTATGTTTATCTACCTCTGAAGTAATTTTGTCTGGCATTTTCAAGACGACATTATTTAATTTCCATCTTGAAATTAAATTATAATGTCTATTTGTGTTGATTTATTGTATATATTTGGGAATTAGTGATGCATGCATTTCTTGACATAGGCTTTAGGAATTCAATCCATAAAAAACAAGACCTACAATATAATTTGTATATGACATATAAAAATAAACGTGCAAAGTAGCTTTGGACTGCACCATTATTTTCTTTTGTATCATGTTGTGACATATATATATATTTTAATTAGACAGAAAGAAATTTAGCTGGAAAGATCTAGTTTAGAATCTTTTAACTTCAAATAAACGCATGCATATGCATGAATGATCAAGGACGAACATCTTATTTCATTATCACCAAGTAACAAGTAAAAGGTAGTCAAGTGAGCAATATTGGAAGTATTATGGGGATTATGATGTTTTGGGCCCATCTAAGACCAATCGGGAAGTTTAGTTAATGAAGCCTGAAATGTATGATATTGTTACCTACATTATGACACATATATTACATTGTTTGTTAAAAATATAATATTTACAATAATATTACTACAACCTATTTTTCAAAAATTTATAAATAAACAACAAGTTTTCAGCCAAAACAGCAATAAATATTACAAAGTGTTTTAGCTTCACATGATTTTCAAATTATTGCTTATTAATTTGTGTGAATTGTGTTTTGAGGCATCAACACATTAGTACCACATCATTTATTAACTCTGAACACAAATATTAATTACAGAGCAAACCACTCAAAACTGTCTTCTTGCAGCTAATTCATATGATCAACAGACTTTCAGATTCAAGCTGCATTAACTAATACATCAAAAATCGAAATAGAAAATTGAAACAGATTGCAGTGGAGTATTTCCTTATAATGTTCACTATTCTGTATGATTCAAGAAGAAATACTATAACGCGCATTCTAAACAAATAAATCTAAAAGATAAATAGCAGAGAACACTGTTTCAAAATATTGACAGGTTTCTATATTAGTGATTTAATTGTGATGAAAATTTGTAGTTTTAGACCATTTTTCTTTACCAATTACCATACACCTTTCATTTTGTAATAAGGGAAAAGATGCAAGAATCAGTGTGAGTTACATACCCAAAAGTACAAAATGTACAAAAGTGTACATAAAATGCTATGTAACTTGTCTATTTAAAAATAAAAGCTTTACATCAAACTGTAGACTAAAACCCAACAAAATTTCACTACATAATATCAAATTTAATTGTTGGAGGAACAAAGAGGGAATGAATATATTTTTTGCTTTCATTAGCAAACCCATGTTAATATTAAAAACTCAACAAATAATGCTTGAAATATGTAACAACGGAAGAATGTCCTCTTCTCTACATATCAAACCACAATAAAAAAAACTCACACAGTTCTCAGAACATTCACTCAGAAGTAAACGCATCATCCAAAATTGAAACTACCAATTTCTCCATGTTGAGTTTATTGAATGGGCATGTTCAGACAGAAATTCACTTATTTCCTTCAATGACAATTTTACTTAATCCATTAATGCCCAACTGAATGAAAATCGCGTTTGCTATGACCATTGTGCAAGAAGATCAAGTAGCACTCTTCCAACGTCTTTTAGCTGTAGCTCCTGCGAGAAACATAACACTTTTTTGTCCAGTCTACCCATTCATTCACACACCAAAATGTTAACACATCATATTTGCATCACCATCTTGCGTTTGCTGCACAGAGTCCTAAACAAATTAAAAAAATTATTAAACTTTAAACTGAAGCCACAAACTTGCTTCACACAAGCTCTACACCTGGTTCATCACTGAAATGCAAGCATTTTCCATCTCTACCTTTGTATCTAAAAACAAAACAGGAACAACTCATCAATCATTTTAAAATTTACTACATTTTAAAATACTGGGCCCCACCACAGAGTAAAGAAACAAGCCCGAAGAAGCAGCATGCTCAGTTCCTCACAAAAAAGAAGGTACATCAATCTGCTAATAGAATAAGAGACTGTAAATAAACAGTCCATTTGGAACATACAAAGTCTTCAACAAGGAGAAATATCTTCTATTTACAAGAGCAACAAAACAATACTTTATTACTGAACCATTTCACACAACAATGGTCCAACGACCACATTAATTATTTATTTATTTATTTACATCAAAAACAGTAAAAACTGTGTGTGACATGCTATGGGGAGAAGATAATTTGAAGTTATATTTATGTCCAGAAGCAAAACAAGGGGCCATCTCAGCATTTGTTCAAAGATCAAGGAAACTGGAGGAAAATCTGATCGAGATGGGGGTCGTTGACCTAGAAGCTGAAGTACAATACTTGTTACAGATTCTTTACAATTATACAATCCAAATGATATATAATACATTAAATGTAATTGTTAAAATTAATATTATTTTCCTTATGTATGGTCGGTATAGTCTCTAATTGTACAGAAACAGTTGTGCAGCAGAAAGATTTTGCTTGGGACTTAAACATTTGTATTGAATTTAATCGATTAATGTCATCTGGCAAGGTGTGAAATAATTTACATGTATTATATGTGCATTTTTTGTAGTGAGCTGTTGATACTGTTAGCTGATGAATATGATTACTATGTCAAGTGTTGTAGTTATAGACACCAGCATTTGCTGAAAATATATTCCTGCCCTTAAGCAAGTCATTTTTGACAAAAACCATGATTCATATATTAATAGACAAGGTAACGGTAAAATACCTAGATTAATAAAGAGAGGCTTACAGGAATCATGTTGGTGGGATTTGCTTATTATTCATACAATTCTTTTTTGTAATTTAAAAGTCTGGGAGCTATAAGATATATATTCCCAGAATATTATGCCATATCTCAGACAGGAATGAACATTCGCGAAATATACACAACAAGTGTAGAGGTTGACTGAATTTGAAAGAGTTCTGAAAGAGTAGCATAAAGAACTTAATTTAGTGTTCAATTCATTTAGATGGACCTTCCATTTAAGGTTTGACTGAATTGAAAGACGTAAAAATTTTGTTACCATAACATCAGTCAAAGGCACGCCGTTCATTTTCAGTGAAGTGCTGAGCTGTTTAATTGAAATGGAGAACTGCATTGAAACAGTTTTCTTTTCAGTTACTATTAATTTTTTATTAAGAAACTAATTCGAAATGTCTGATATTGTACTATTTACGGTTTCTTTATTGCAAAGAATATTCTTATCGTCCGCAAAGAGAACTGTTCTTCCATTTCTAATGTCTAATATTTCTTTCTTAGGCAATAACTAATCTAATCTTTCCTTTTTAGGCAATAACAATAATTACAGAGACATTATCCCTGCACACACTAGAGTTGGCCCCTAGTGATTACAATTTACCTGTCATCTGAGGGTTAAAAAACCCAATGCATTAACACTGTACAAAGATCTTCTGCACTGGCAATAATGGTTTCTAAATTTTGTTGAAAAATTTTACACTACTGGTTTAGATTTACCAGTCAGTTGCTGGGAACACAAAGGAAATACAAAACAATTTGGCACTTGGTGGACATTCTATTTCTCAGAAGACACAAAATCCTAGTCCGTCTTCAACAAATTTTGTAATTATGTTCTTCTCTTTTGTTTGTAAGCTAACATTATTTGAAAGATTTACTATTAGCAAACATTACTAAGGAAACTAGAAAAGGAGAAAACACTGCTGAAAACACTAATGTATAAAATAAAATCATCACACAACAATTTTATTAAGTTTAAACAACTCTTTCCAAGTTTTGCATATTGACAAATGCTCATAAAATAAATACATTTCTTTTTACTTGTTTAAAAAAGGAGCAGAACATAAAACATCACACAACAGGAGAAACTCTCTAGGATTTCTTATTCGTTGAGTCTGCAATTATTTTAGTCTTCTCATTACTGTTTTCAAACAACAGGCATAGAAAGTCTGTATTTTCCCATTCTCATTGTTTGAGTAAACACCACCTGTATATAAAGGATGTTAAAGAACTGGAAGTTTCTTCTGTGCTTCCACATTCCAGAAATACTTGCGCACATGGAGAGCTGTTGCAGGTATCTTTAATATTTCATTATTGAAAATGATTGATGAAGGTAAATAAAAATGTGACAAGTATGACAGAATAATAACAAAATATGACTCATATGGTAAAAAGAAATCAAAACATTAATGTGAATGTTATGGAAGGTTGGAAAATGCCCAAGGGGTTCAAAAACATCAAGACTGATAATGACCATTTACTGAGAGGTATCACAAAAGAAACAGATTTAATTAACCTGTAACAACTGATGTGTATTTCTGTTATGCAACTACAGACATGGAGTCAAACTGACTCCACATGCTTCCTTGAGGATTTATGTCTTACCAATTTCCTTTTTCAAATTATACTTTTATGTACAATATGAAAATACTTTTATATTAATAAAAAATGTTTCAAAAGTTTCCAAGATAATAATAATAATAATCATTAATTATTTGCTTTTTAATTGTGATCCTGCAGTCGAGTTATTCAGATGAAATATTTAATGGGAATATACTGATTAAACACATTTAATGCGAATATATAGGTTGAACACATTTAACAATATTTTATAAATCCTTTTTAATGTTTTATTACTTTTATGATGGGTACATACTGTTGAAGAACATTGACTGCACACTGCATGTTTACAAAACTAACAAATAGTATTTATTTTCATCTTCAGAGCCTTAGGACAAATAGAGCAGTATTTTCTGGTTGAAATTTTCCATCCTCTTTTTCTGCTTCCTACTTTTCTCTACCTAGTATTTTCGGAATTGAAATTCTGATGTCTTGTCGAAAATGTGTTGGACAATCTCCTTTCTAATTCCTTGGTAACTAATTCCATAAGCTTTTTATAAAATCCAGCCTTGTTACCGATGTCATTAGCGCTAAATGAGAAAAATATCAAGGATAGTGCTCAAAAAATAAAAAGATAATACTAAGGATAATGCTCGAATAATAAAAAAATAAATAAATACAATAAATATAACTTGCATAACACAGAAAATATTACATGCATGCCTGCCATCACTAGTGTTAACAAGTCTTTTTTCTTGTTACATGTTCATAGACATGGGGGTCAAACTGACTCTGTGATGCACAAAGGTACTTTTAACAGGAAATAAATCTGCTAAATCAAAATGTATAAAATCATCAATCTGCATACACAACAATAAAGAGAGTTAATTTGAAGGTAACTAAGTTGTGGTGGAAATAACAGGAGTATTAAAATAATAAAATAAAAATGTAGAAGAGATAAGTCAGTTAGACTCCCATCTGTGGTTACAGGTTAATGTTCCAGTAGATGAACAAGTAATATTTTTGAGATTTCCTGTATGTGCTTCCTAGGCAACCAACGTCTATAGCCCTGAATTCTACTTTCAAAATGCAGGAAGATTACGATTTTTTAAATATTTTTATTCAATTCAGAAACATTTTAATGTCAGTGCAGAAGCATTTTCTAAGCTACTAAAATAACTAGGAAACAGAGCACTTCAGTGTAATAATCATGGTGATAATATTATTTACCATCCCAACAATTTGCAAAGCACTGATATTGGTTCTGTTTGCTGTGACAGTTACCATTTGAATACATTGTGTTCCCTTTCATTATCTTTCTTTGATCCAATTGTTTTTAAGAATTTTTAAGATGTCACTCAATAGTTGAACAGCTACTAATTTTTTTATTTGACATCCCCACTACAAATACAGGGAAACCTTCTGCCCTGCCTTCTTCTGCACTTCAATTATGCAGTTACCTCCACCTATTTTTTTATGGAACCAATTCATTTTCCCATAAGGCACATGTAAATATTCCCTCTTTTAACCCATTTCTCCCCAATGTTGCGTGAACGCAACGCTAGGTTCATGAACTTTTCCTACGGTACTATATTAACGTTGCATTTGTGAATTTTTACACCACACATTTAATTCATTGTGATTTGTAAATATATTTTCATTTTAGTAAACAATACATTGGTACTAATTTATTAATTTTTTTTTCTTCAGGTTGTGCAGCGTAATTTACTACATGAGGTTACTAATTCTTTTTCTTTTAAAATTGGTTAACTGTGAAGCAGTTTATAATGATAGTGGGAAGTATGTGTTATATAAAAACAAGTTTAAAAGTTTGAATGAGAAGTGATTCTTGAAACAGATGTAGGTAAATAAATATCATGATGTGTTCACGCAACGTTGGGAGTTTGACTGTAGACAGGTGATGCGCACACGCGCATGGTATCAGATACTCGCCATTTTCCCAGAACCTTACAATTGGAAATGGAATTTTACAGAGCGATATTCTGCCATGTTAGAAGTTTCTGTCACCAAAATTTTAAGATAAGCACGGATCCAATCTATTCGTAGACTCTTCTGGGAATTTAAAACAAAACGGATCGTCTACGAAAGCTTCTCTCTTTTGCTTTGAGGCAGTAGTGCGCGTGCTTTTGGATACGTGAAACATTCGCAGTTTTTTTCTCTATTGTCATAAAGTGCTTGAGACTCAATCTCTTGTTGTTGTTTTTGTAATTTACAAGGCAACAACTATATTAAAGGTATGTGTTCACTGTGTAACTAGGAAAACAATTAAAAATTGCACTTATAATAATATTATAATTGCTTCATAAGAGATTATTATAAGTAAAGGAACACATGACTACATGATGGATGAGAAAACGAGATTTTCTTAGTTAGATAGCACGACAATTCAGTTGTCACAGTCGCAACAAATGTCGGTACTTTGGAACCTCTTGTGAACACGAAATGGTATAACCGTAAGGAAAAAAACATGAAATGGTTCAACAGCCCAATACCATACTTCAGTACAATGAGGGAATGGGTGGTGTCAATTTGCATGTCAATGCTATTGCAAATTATAGGTTACGAATAAGAGGCAAAAATGGTGGTGGCACCTTTTTACAAATGGTAGATAGTGCTATTGTAAATGCCTGGAAATTGTATACTTTAGCAACTGGAACAAAGACAAGTAAAATTGAATTCAGACCTGAAATTGTACTCACCCTTCTCCGGTTTCAAAAACGGAAGAAGTAAATGGAATTAAAAATTTCAATCTGGAGTGTTGTAGCAAGAAAAGTTTGCATGAAGTTATAAAGAAGTGACCTTGTTGGTCACGAAATAATTCGTGCACGCTGCAGATGTAAAATTTGCAGACTTCAAACTATTTATCATTGTAAAAAGTGTCAAGTTCATTTGCATAATGAATGTTTCTCACTATATCATGAATAAACTTATTTTCAATATATGCTAGGGTTTTTATTGTGTATTACATTGAGAAAATAAAATATTTTTTAGAATATTGACCTGACTCATTCTTACCAGAGAACTCCCAATGTTGCATGAATGCAATGTTGCATTCCGGCAAAACCAAAAATCACAAAAATATTTGACGTGTATATTTACACTTTTTGGGGATGATTTATTAATATTACAGACAGAAGTTTCAAAAAAAGTAGGTATTTCAATGCTTGAGATGAAATGGGTTAAGCAGTTCTGTGTTCAGCAGTCAAACGCATACATAAATTTCATAAGACACACATTGGATTGATTTCTCTGCAGTACGAGGTCAAGCAATTTTCTGAAGCAAAAGTACACTTTTTCAAACATTTTTGGCCTCATAGTTGATTTGAAATGCTGAACCATGACTAATGTTCAACTTAAGCACAATTTTATTAATTATGACACATAATGCATAAGTTGCAAGTCATAATTATGATATATCATGAATGTAGATCATCATGAATCAGTCGCTTAACTGACTCAATGTTTCTGTTCATTTTCTAAGTTGATAGACTATCTGAATGCCCTTCATTGCAGATACAAAATTATTCACAGAACAATTTATCCACTCAACAATTTTGTGTTCACCAAGTCAACTCTTACCATACTGTCACTGCATTCAATGAATAATCTCTGTACTTTGCCTAGTACTTTGAGAGTGCAGAAAACATTTTAACACTCATTATTTATACCTTGGTAAAGGCAGACAACAGGTCATTCACGGTAAAATGCTCTGAAATCAGTACTGAAGAGAGGTAAGCACTAAACCAAAATGGGAACGCAAAAGAAAGCTGGCATTAATAGCCAAATTCCTTAACTAAGCCCCGCAAAGACATAGGTTACGACATATGTTGGGTTCCTGGTTGGGTGAAAGGTTGGGAACCGCAGGATCTAATGGTACCATGTTCCTGGCTGAAGGGAAAAAAGGCAATGACTATATCTTTTCAACTTCAAATTGAGACTAAACAATTGCAAATTGGGAATAAACACATTCAATTTCAGACCAATCACTTCCAAATTGAGACTTAACACATTTAAACTGGAAAGTAAATAAAAATCAGATTACAACCATTTAAACACAAAAATATCTTCAACACAAAATTAAGTAACAATTCATACAAATTACGTTTGGAATAATTACAATGTTTCTGTAAACTGTATGACTACACACAGGCATACGTACTCCTTTTCTCAGAAATTTTTTGCAAAGTAATTTTCAACACAATTTTAGAACACACACACGAAATTATTTGCATTCTCCTTTCGGAAAGTGCCTCTTTTCAGGCCCGTATTTTGTGATGAATCAGTCCCATACTCCCTCTACATCCAATGAATATTAGTCCATGAATATTAGTCCGTGGGTGCCTGCTGCAATGTAAAGGCATCTATTACCTTTCTTTCATAAAATACATAAATTGACATATGTTTCATCCATGTATAATATAGGGATATTATCTGCCTTATAATTTAAGAGCTGTAGCACATATTTGTATCTTATTCTTTTATTTACATCACTGATCATTTTCGCACTCTCCATGAATGCCTTTTAATGTGAACATTAAGCCATTCAAATGTTCGATATAAACAATAACTTGGTGCTGATTTTCAAATTTACATTTCAGTTTGTTTGTTCAAATCTCTGTTTTTCTCTGTAATTTTTCAATTGTCTTTGTCCACTGCAGTTTCTGGTATTTCGTCTGGACTTTTACCCATTGATATGCAGTTGATGTCTTTGCTCCAAGTGTATTAGTGACTTCTCCCCAGTTTTCATCATCATCATAATATACTGCACAAATTTTTGTATTTTGTTTCTCTCACCTTCCGTTTTATTTATGTAAATCATTATAACGCAATTATCTTACTCATACACAGAGAAATGTATGTTAGCTTTCTTAGCATCAACAAATGAAACTCGAGCTGATGCAATTTTTTCTTTAGCGATTTGAAATTGTTACGTCTAAAATTCCTTGTGTTTATTTTAATTTTGAGTGTGTTAGAACCCAATTTGAAAGTGTTTGGTTCCATTTTGAAGTTGAAAAGGTATAGATTAATGCAAGATTTCTCAAAATGATCCATACCAATAGGTGGCTGTAATAGAGCGTTGTTATGAATTGTAAAAAATTTCCACTGTAGACAGTCCTGCTATCCATTAAAGCAGAAAAAATAAAATATGCTTTCACATTTTGACTTCCCCTCATATTAAACATGTACCAAAAACAATTCAGTATTTCAAATATACAGTAAGCAATATAAACTTCAATGTAAATAGCAAAACTACACAAGATATCAACTTTCCATATTCTCAAAACCTCCATTAAGTGGCCACCTGAAGAAATGGTCTTTTTTCTCTAGAATTATAAGTTTATAAAAAATGTTTCACAATACTCAGATTTTATCCAAGGTATTAAACCCTAATTTTAATATCTTTAATAAAAGATAGAGTTCCTAAGGATTAAATTCACATTTTTCTTAGAATGATCTACCAAATACTTTGTTGATACTGGACCTACTACTTACTACTATCTACTGAGTATAGAATAACTAAAAAAATAAAGAAAAAAATTAAACAAAGTACTCACTTGGAACAAAGTCTGACTAGATGGTCTATTAATAGGACCAAAGGGATTCAGGCTTGTTTCCTCTGTTCTTGGAGAAGAACCTAACTCATTTAGACGGGCTAACTGTTGTGTGAGAGCCATAGTACCACCTTCAGCTACCGTCAAAATGACCCAAATTATGTCTAAAACAAAAAACGCAGAACGAACATTATGTGTGCACATTAAATCTTTGTTGTATTAAAACCTAATGAATTACATAAATGGAAGGTGATGAAAAAAAAAGAAACATAAATATACTAAATACATTTCAGAACTGAAAGATTTCCTCAACAGAGTAATAAATTGAAACAAACCAAAAAGCAAAATCTGCTCCTTTACATATTACAGTAAAAATTTAAATTTAATTGTAAGAACGGAATTTTATCTAAATTATTCTGAATTTTTCACAAAGAGACCTGCAAGTCTGTCATTTTTTACATTATTTCCACTATCAAGCAGTTCTGGTTCTTAGTTCAGTAAAATCTGTACAAACCGGAATCCCGCCTTAACCGAAAAATTTCTCTGGCCTGTGAAATTACATGGTATTTTAACACAACATAAAACGGAATATGTCCAACATGGAAATGGAACAGTTTTTCAGGTCTTGTAGTGGCTGAAGGGGGGAAATCTTTACAAAACAGAATTCTTGCAAATTTAATGCGATTGGCAGAGACACATTGACCGATATTCATAATGAAATGAATGCATCAGCAAGTCTGTTTTAAATTATCGATCCACACGATTCAGTTGCGGCAACCGCACTGTGGAGGAGAGAGGCTTCAGCTGACAGCGTAGAATTCAACCCTAGGGTCACTTGTCTCTCAATGCGTAGAACACAGGCCAGAGACGCATTGATCAAGGCCAGGCGAGGGTATCAGAAAATCATAGTACTTTGGGCTGTGACAACAAGTCAACAAACAGTCCGATTTCAGCCATTAGACGGTGAGGTGATGTGCACTTTTATGAATTTCACAACCAGTTTAACAATGCTAAAACCATAAACTTAATATTCTTTAACATTAGGTGCAAAAAGGACAAACTTACGGGAGCAAGAGAAACTCAGAAGCTGTCAATGAAAAAGGTTTTATATTCATTTATTGGGGATTTCTTCTATAAGCATATTATATGTAATTCTATTTTAATAACCATAATAAAATCATGCAATTTTTACTTTACTCTAATTACTTCTTTACTTGCATTAATTAACAAGTTTCAGAGCGGAAATATCAATATAACAAATGAACAACCCTGCATAAAGCGGAAACCTCCCTAAACCAGAACTTTTTTGGTCCCAATCAATTCCAGCTTAGACAGATTTTACTATATATATTTTGTGAATTCTCTTTCAACACTTCCTCCTTTCAGAGCAGGCAAGCAGAAATAATTATTTAAATCAATTTAAAACTTCGTTATACAGAAAAAAATAAACATAACTATTACATTAATTTCTGCTACATTTCTTTCACTTTTTCAGTTTATAATAATATTTATAATGAATGCCTTTTTATTTTTTTACTAATAGCAAAATAAAATTAGAGACAGTATGCACATTTGTAAATAAAGAACAAAACTGTAACATGCAACACTGCAATATAAAAGTAACTACGTATGTAAAAAGATAACCCAAAACTATTGATATTCAAGAGAGGAGAGAGAGGGAGAGAGAGGAGGAGGAGAGAGAGAGGAGAGAGAGGGAGAGGAGAGAGAGAGAGAGAGGGAGAGGAGAGAGAGGGAGAGGAGAGAGAGGGAGAGGAGAGAGAGGGAGAGGAGAGAGAGAGGAAAAAACCAACAACAACAATAATGTATAAGCTCTGTCCAAAATTTAAGTACAGTATACAAATGAGAGCATATTAAAATTTAATATTTAAATTCAATGGGTACTTTCAATAGGTAAATTAAAGGGGCACTTCTCTCTGTTCTTACAGAGCACACCTGAAAAACCTCCCTCTATACAATGAAAAATGTCTTGTGTAAATATTTCCTCATGTTAAGCAATGAAACAAAGTTTTCAATGTATTTTTCTCAATAGTAAACCATTTTTCATTTTTCAATATACACTGATAAAATATAGTGCTCCAAGTAAATCTGTGAGTGCAGGGTCCAAGTTCTTCAGTTGGTAGTATTAGTTAACCCTTTCCATAGTTTCATTTTCATCTGCCTAAAGCCCACTGGTTTCCCGCTGTAACCACACTAGTGGATCGTCAAAGAGACACCTTGCCACCTAATATCAATGTTCTGTTAGTTTGCACCAATGTATGTGGTTATAAATTGTTTAGTATTTATAGGGTTAATGCATGGTGTTATAATGAAGGAGAGTGTCTGGTAAGATTTCAACAAGATTCTTATTATTTGCTTACATTTTGTCAAAAGACAATAGTTAGAACTTCTACTTAGAGGGCTTTCAAATCTAAACTGTACACTGTCATCATTAGTACTATCGAAAACATTGTAGTTACGTTGTGATACTGAACATGAGTGGGCTTTACAATGGTGAAGTGAGTTCTACTTTGGATTGTAATTTTTGAGCAAGGATTCATGTTGGCTGGCAAGAACAATTTCAATGATTTTGATTTTGAAGAACATGAGAGAAAATGTATTTTGCAATATATTTATGACATTCCATCAGATGCTTAATCTGAAACTCCAGAAACGAGCACCAATGAAGAGACCAAATATGAAGAAGAAATAGAAGACAGAGAAGCAGCAAATGAGTCAGTACTTCAAACACAAGAACAAGATGTTCAAGACTAATTTGAACTGTCGGAAAGCTGAAGAGTATTTTGAGATGAAATGGAAAAAAGAAATCATGTCATTTGAAAATCAACAATTTGTTGCAAATGTGGGACCTAACATTCCAGATAACGATAAACTGACATAAATTTTTCAATGTTTGTACCTGGATGAATAGGTGAAATAATCATATCAAACAAACTTTAATGCTGCTCAGAAATCTAACAGTTCTTCGTTTGCAAGAAATGGTTACAAAATGGCAATGGAAAAGTGATTACAATGTAAATATAGTTTGTCATTAGGGCAGATATGTTGAAATCTCTTTATGAAATTGATCTTAAAAGCAAGACATGGTGGCACAGAATTTTCTGGCATTTCCTGAATTTACAGTTGAAAATGAATACATTATTCATAAAGAGCTGAATGGAAATTTGAAAGATCTGAAAAGATTTAGATTATCCATAATTGCAGGATTGACCAGGGCTGCAACAAAACCTCCTTCAGCTGGATCAAAGAAGATAAAACAGCCTAACACTTTCAAAGTCTAGCACCCCAAAAGGGATATGATCAGGTCTTCCATATGCCACAAAAAGGTACATCATGAAGATGCAGAACTGGCAAAGAACTACATCGAAGAAAATGTTTATGTGCAGTATGTTAAGTGGGATTATACATGAATACGTCAAAGAATTACTCTGATGTATTCTACAAAAAGTGACAATGGAGTGAACCCAGTGGTTTCAAATCGAAACCACCTCTTATTTTGTGGCCAAAAATATATTGATTTGAAAATTGCATTTGCAGCTCATCTTTTTAGCCCTTTGTAAGTTGTTTTTGCAATAAAACCAGTTATTCCAAGAAATATTTCTGCAACCAGAGAAATATTACTTTGAAAAATCTGGCTGAAAAGATGCACTTTACCTGCCCAAATAGAAGACAAGTTTTTTTCCTAAATAGATAATTCAAAAAACACGGAGCCATCTTACATTTGCATACTAAAATTAGTTGGTTGGGTTCAATGCTTTAACATTGCCTTTCTCTATCGAGAAACTAACAATATCTGACCAATAAGCTGAAAATATGATAAGCAATGGGTAACTATATACCTAATTGTACGTGTAGTAAGTGTAATGCAGCATGCAAACAAGTAGAAATCATGGCCATTTTGTTGGAATTTTGCAGTTCTCAATTACTCTTACTTTAATGAAGTGGATTGACTTACTTTAATGAAGTGGGTTGTTATAGGAAGGAGGGAGGAGTGATGAAGACAATGGACAAGGGGAGGGATATAAGACGAAGTAGAAGAGGCATGATGGTCTCCCTTAAAAATATCAAAAAGTGCTCGTGAAGTTAATGAATAAAACTAAAACGTGATTTCTTCAAGTTTTATACGAGGTGGAAAGGCCCCCCAAGGACATGAAAGAATCTCTGTGTATTTCTTTTGCTTCTTGTGTACCATGTTCCTTTCACACAGAACACTTACACATGTGAACAATCTCCTCCTTATGACACTTTCCTTGAAATCATTGCACAACTCCTTTTTCTTGGCCAACCTCCTAGAATACACTTACACACATGGCAAGTAAACCATACAGCAATCAATAGTTTTGAATCCAGTTAACAACTACCAAACACCTCTTTAGCCACCTCACTTAAAGAACAACATTTATTTCCACCATCAAAACACAAACTTGACAATCAAAATTACAAAGAATCAGTAAAGCTGAAGAAAAAGGTACTAGGATGTGAAATGATATAACAAAGAAAGCATTAAAATTGTTTCAGTAGTTAAAATTCTATAATTTATTTAGATCACCCATGCCTTTATTATTACAATTGCGTGTCATGATTTGGAACATTCACATTATCCCTGCCCACCAAAAGATTTCCCTCAAAACCAACCCCTCTACCCCCTTGTCCCTTCCATTGCGGATTCCCCTAACACCTGAGCGGTGAGTGTATTAATTTAATAGTCTTCCATAAATTGTACAATGTTCTCTACTTCAAAAAGATAATGTTCTTAGTTAGTGTCAAACAAAGACATGAACTGTCAAAAGTTTTAATATTGCTGAAAAAAGTCAAAAGAACGACCTAGAATGGGAGAGGATCACAGAAGTAACAACAATGATAATGGTGGTAGAACAATGACGGAAGAAAGAAGAAAATATATAATAGACAGGAAGACTTCGCTTTAGTGACATTACTCACTGGGCTAAAAGGACAAGGTCCAATTGAATCATTGGCACTTCCTACAGATGTTCCACCTGCATCTGTAGCAGACACTTGTAGTGATGGTAGCAAAGGTAATACAACCTTAATGATTGACTCCTGTACTAAAGTTCTGCACTCTACGACCTTCGCCCCACTACCACTGATGCCTTCCACATTCATATGAAAGGAAAGTATTAAACTGCATCACAGCCCATCAGCTAGGTAGAAAATACACTTTTATGTTTTCTCATGAAGATAATTTTCTATTAAATAAGATAATTTGTTATTTCAAAGAAAATAATTAACACTTTCAATCCAACGAACAAATCCGATATGTCAACTTAATTTTACTGCTGTGCTCTATGGACAAATGTCATACAACCTTCTACATTTATCGACTTTGACAGGCAATAAACATCTTTCGAACATCTGTAAGCACTTAGAATAAGCTTTTTAATATTATTAAGGTGGTCACAGGACAAATGGCAATGTGTGTTTCTATTTTCTGCAAATATTTTGAATTATTTCAGGAAACCATTGGATGTTCATACTAGTAGCCACTGTTAATTACGTTCAAAATTTCTTTCTTTCTTTCTAAATAGTGATTGTGCTATTAGCGACCTCAAAAGATGTTTCGAAGGCATAGTTGTAACATTCACACCAACTCTCAACATTAGAAGTTCAAGACCTTTTGAAAAATGGATCGGATCTGGATTCTTCTGATGAGGACTTCGATTTTATTACTGGACTGTCTAGTTTGAGCAATGAAAAGTCGAGGAGAGTAATAATAATGCAAATGATTCTGTTAGTAAGCCTTCTCAAATTAGAGTTTTCATTTCCTTCAGTGTTTGAGAAAACCAGTGCAATAAAATTTCCTGTAATTGAAGACTCAAATGAAGTAGACTATTTATCATCATTTTTTTACCACAGTATATTTCGAAAAATAAAGGCAGAAATAGAAATGCAAATGGAACTATATTTGAACTTTAACAAAATATAACTGTAGTGCACCAGTATCATTGTCCCATGAAGTTCACTGTATATCCCCCATATTTTGTAACATTGTTACTTTCTGCAAAAATATAAAATTTACAACATATGTTTCTTTGAAATCCATTCTCACTACCATCTTATAATTAAAAAAGATGAAATACATATAGACATGAAGAGAAAAGACATTACTTCACGATTTTATTACTTTCTAAGTAGTGTGTACAATAGTTTTTGCTTAACGTTTTGAGTAACAACTATATTGCAGAGTTTATCATGTGGTATATCCCTCAGGTTCAAATGTGTTAAAATTGGTGCAAAATGTAAAAAGAAAAATCCCAGGAGGCTTCTTCCCAATTAGAGACACTTCTACAGTAGTCCACTAGTAATGGGGTATATACTGGCATCACCAGAAATTCAAGTTGAAGTCTACTATATGGTACACCTTATGGAAGTTTTTTAAACCGGAACTTTACACTGCTCTAACTGCATTAACTAAGCAGTTTGAATTCAGGAGCCTTTCTTGAAAAGTGATTTCTTATAAATGTGAATTGGTAATTATGCAGTGGTTAAACTTAAGGATGTTTATAGTGAACATGAGAGTCAAAGGCGTGAGCCTCGCCATGACTCAGGTCCAGGCAAGCAAAGAGAGAAAACTTGCCTTTGAAAGTTAATTAACATTACATTACGGCGCGGATAACATATGAAGGGGACGACCATGAAAATCGCCTATTCGTAAGATTTATTCACTTCTATTAGAGCACGTAGAGTAATTAGGGCTTGAGGAGACCCACCCACTGCCACGCTTCTCTGAGGTGTACAGTGTACCATACTTTAAGCAAAATTCAATAACTGTTCCAATATTTCTTCTGAAATTAACTTTAATTTTCAAAATTTTTTTGTGCCATATTGAATTTCCAACATGACTTTGGAATTTACAACCTCTAATATACTTGGAAATTTCAGAAAATTAAAAATTATTACATTTAGTGTATTTTCCTACTATATGGTAACTACTCAGTATAAATCAGTTATTTTCCAAGAACTTCATTTGCTATCATTGAAGAACATCACATCCAAATTTTAAACAATCATTGGACAAATATCTGGACCCAAAATCTCTTTTATTTTATGTTTCTTAGGATCTACTAAGAAAAAGTTGACATATGCTCTTAAAAAACTAACCTCCAAAATAGGAACCTCCAGGAGTTGTCATTCTCCACTTGCTTTCATACATGCCAGGCTGCTGAGGACTAACCATTTCAACAGTAAGATCTGTTGTGCAGCCTGGACCCACAGGTAAAACAGACAAACGATCTACTGCACACAACTGATCACCACCACTGAAGCACAGGCAACATCCTGGTGGCCAAACTTCATCACCAACATTTTGAACCCTCCAGGTTTTGGTGAATCTGGGGATGAACATTAACAATCAATAATTATGACACAGATAATTACAATAATGTTTTAACTACAACCACGAGCAATTAACAAAACAAACAAAAACTTACCAAATTACAACGTAAGAACCTGCACTACTGACATGATCCTTACATGATCCCATGACTTATAATCCCATCTTTTCAGTAATAATTTTGAATTAATCAAAGAACAAACATTTGACACTTTTCAAGATTCTTAATATATAGAATAGAAACTTGTAATTTCTATAAAACCAGAAAATAAACTGTTGGTACATGCAAACAAAAGGAACTCTGGCATCGTCTATACAACATTTGGCATTGACAATTCTTTTACTATTGATAAAATTTTCATAGAAATCAAAAGACCAGTAATCGTAAAATATTGAAAAGGATTATTTTATCCTATAGCAATTTTTTTCACTTCCTTCATATTTTTTATTTTTAAGGAAACCCTGTCTAATTTTCAACAACAAAAACAAATAAAGAAGCAGGTCCTATCCTGAATTATGTTTACTACACCTTTGCAAATGAAATACATTTAAGTAAAGTAGCACCATAGGATCACTGTTAACATACAATACATTGTTTTTATTTTTATGCAAGGATATGACTAATTTCAGTACTTATTTCACACAAAAATGGAATGATGCAATACAAATTACACTGTTGCAAAGAATTTCCGTCCCGATTTATTTACTATATTATCTATAATCTTTTCTTTATGTTTGCAGTTCTTCTATGAATCATTCGTACACGAAAATCTTACAGGAGTACTCTTAATATTGTTTGTCAACAGAAATTTCAGACTGAACAAAAATACACTCAATGGATTAATTTACGCACTTTGTGGATGGTGGTATACTTTCTCCTTCACCAACAGTCATATCACGTATGAGTGTCATTGAAGGTAATTTATATGGAGATTCGAAATCAAAATACGAACACACAGCTCCCTGCAGATTCCTGGAAACAAAACAAATACAAAATGGCCAAGTTCAGCAAAATCTGGATTACAGCTTTTTGTGTAAAAACTCGTAAATGATGACAAGAAGCACCTATCAATCAAGTCTTACACAGTAAAAACTTAACAAAACGGGAATTCAACATACAATAAACAGAGAATAACAATCATCGGTGATGTACAGTACTGACACACAATATGCTAGGCATGAAGAAAATTAAATTCAGCGTAGTAGATGGATGACAACTACAAAGAATGTCATAGCCTGCCTTACCAATTATTCATATCCAGAAAGAAGGACGCTGCAGTCGCGTTTAAGTTATTCCCAACCAACATTTGTAACTGCTTCACTAGCTCGTCCCTATCCGTAGTGCCCATGCAGCTAAATTGCTGCAAGAGCGTTTGATCTACATCGTTGTCAACTTCCATGATTAAGTCACGTAAAACATGAAGAAAATCATCCAATACAGCTAATAACTAAAAATCAGCGACAAAAGCACAATTCTACCTCCCTACCCACCATATCATTTACTACACAATGAATTTGCAACTCCACAGTCATCTGTCGAACAGCAGTCTCGACCCCGAAACGCGATCTATGACGCATAGTCACGTGCTCGCAGGAGACCCAATGACAGTAGAGATCCCAATTTACGTATAAACCAGCTGAACGGCAGTCGCACGCATTCAAGTAGAGCTTATGGTGCAGACAACTAAAAACGCGCTAAGTGAAGGCATGCAATCAAGTTGTTTATTTTTAAAGAATTAAAACCTGTATTATTATAGTGATGAATTGGTGAGCAAGCGAACATACAAAGCGCCTACATGTTATAAAATTACGTGAGAAGAACGCAACACTGTAGATAAGCAGTTGTTACAGTAGTAACAATAGTTAATTTTTTCGCATCGTCAAATTCATTTTCGAAATAACTTGTGTCAATGAGAGGGCCTAGGACACACGGTGTGCAAAATAACGGTAACCCCAGTTGTATAGGTAAGCGTTCAAATATGCGGACAAAAAGAAAGATTTTGAGTGGTGTTCTCCATCCGAGTGAAGCCAAGAAAATCAAAGACTCGAAGCGAAAGTGCACCAAAAAACGCAATGAAGACGAACAAATAGGTTCAATATCGAACTTTGAAGTTATAGTCGTTGACGGAAGATGGGATACATCCCAAGCTATTCCATCATTAGTTGGTGAATTGCGAAACATTAATGATGTGGTGAACATGGATGAAAGTGGTACATGCAACAATAGTGTCAAACGGTATGCTGAGAAGAGAAATTCGAAAATAAACAGATGTGCAGAACCCTACAAACCAATTTTGGAAAATTCGAAAGAGAAGATGGAAACATCAAATATGCCATTTGATGATTCCGGAATCCAGTGCAATGACAACGACGATTCATCTAATTTGACGTGGTTAATAAACTTTAAACTCGACACTATCATTCAAGGTGATTGTTTGGATGACGATGAAGGCATATATGAAAAAGAAAATGAAGAGGATAAACTTATTTTCGAAGGTGAGAAATGTGTTTTAGAAAAAAAATATTAGTATTATTAAATTTTGAGTGGCGTCCGCAATAAGATTTTTAATGTTCATTTTAGGTGCCCAAGCCATTGCACGAGCTAAATCACGCGACAATGCAAGAATGTTTTTATCGGATTCTCATGAAAACGTGGAGAAATCACAATCCCAAATGTCATCAAATAGAAGCAGCAACCACCAGACGAGCGGCGGACATAAGAAACCACCTTTCACATATACTGAACTAATTGAGCAAGCCCTCCGAGAGAAAGGAGAGCTCACGGTTTCTGGAATCTACTGCTGGATATCGTATGTTTACAATGTTGTTTTTATTTCTATTTTTGATTATATTGCACCTAGTTATATTTCCATAGAATATAGTTGATTGTAGTAGCTCTGCACTTTATCATGTAATATTTATGCTATTATTCGTGTTGTGAAATGCTAAATGAATTATTTAGTTCGATATTTTGAGATTTCTAAACTGTATATTCAACGTTGATTCATCTATGACACGTGACGACGGCCCTTCTTCCCCGTGCCCACTCGTGATACAAGTCAATATACGGTGCCTGGTACAGGTTGCTCCCGAGCTACAAGGGGATGAACTGAGAAGGGAATGCAACGCCCGCTCTCTTCGACCTGCAGAAGCACTCTATTTACATAAAAAGTGGTAATATTTCCAACACGCTTGAATTAAAATGTTAACGCGTTTTTTACAGAAAAGTCTATGCATTATTTCCTACCAGATAGCAACGTTCTGAAATTCAGAACTTACGTCCGCCTGCTGCGTATTCCCCGGAAGCGATTTCCGTATGTTAAAAGCCCCCATCCGTGTCCCCCTATCAGGAGTAACCGGCGGGCACACCTGGCACGGGCCGGTACGGGTCGCGGCACGACGCGCACCACCTTGCGTGCACGCACGTGGCGACTCGAACCGAATTGTGGGGTCGCCTCTGGCCTAAAGGCGGGGGCGGAGCGATTGTGTATGTTTCCGCCCCTTGCCACTTGAATGTAATTATTTCACGCGCGATTACATGAGGAGCAATGTCTCAGCGCTCGTGCCAAGCACAAGGTCGACCCATTGTTGTCGTGAGTCATTTAGTATCCCAAACAACTCCTATTCAGCTCGATAAACCTCCTCTGCGAGTCACCTGTGCTATTCTCGCACGCAATTATTGAAAAGTTTTAGATTATGATGTAGTTTATGATTTTCTGAGAAAGAAAAAAATTATGTCACTGTCTTCCCTTGTACCCCACTGTATGGAATTTCATAATTCAGAATATATATTAAACAAACCTAATTTTAATTTCACTTATTTGCATGCAGGGAGCACTTTCCCTTCTACAAGGCTGATGATGACAGATGGAAAAACTCGGTCCGGCATAATTTGTCAATTAATCCTCACTTTCGAAAGGGGTCCAAAGCCTCTCAAGGTGCGGGTCATCTTTGGAGAGTGGCCAACTTGGAATTAACTCCACTTTCAACGGTAGGAGCCCACTCCAACAACAATTTTTATGATATAACTGTTAATATTTCATTACAAGAATATTTCATTACATTATTTATGTTTTCTTGTTAAAAAGTTATAACTTTTCTGTTATCCTGTTTACAACTTTTTACAGAGGAAACAACAACGTATTCATGAATTTATCTCTGATGTAATAACGCTGGAAGAAGTTGAAGCAGCTACTGCCAGCATCGAAGAAAATAAGGAAAACAGATCTTTGCCCGATGAATTATTCTTGGAGTCTCTGGATGACGCCGTAGAAAACAGTAGTTTTTCTCCAACAGAAATATTTAGTTCGGATCAGACTATTTCTCTTGAGCAATCTGCTGAAGAAATATTAAGTGGTGTGAAGAAAGATGTGGAAGTACAATACTTGATTCCTATCCAAGAAAAGCCTTCACAGAAGAATGGTAAGTTGCTCACAATATTTATATACATATTTATATGCTCATTATATTTATATACATTATAAGAAAATTATTCAATTTTCTCTGTACTACTACATCGGAATACTGCAATTTCTCGATAGAAAAACTCAGCTTTGTGGGTCCCAGAAACCGAATTTTTTTTCTTTCTCCTTGAAGTAGTAAATTACTTTCTTGAACACGTAGTGTCAGAATTCACATTTTGTGGGTCCTTAACACAAAATAGTGTATTCCGGCATTCCGCCTGTCCGTTCGTCTAACTAAACTAACGCCTAAGCCTTTCGCTGGATCTTCACCAAAATATTGATATTTCCAGATCCATCTGACTGGTATCACGACGCCTTGCATATGAAACGCATATTTTAATTTAGGGAATACTTAACACGATGCCTCAACGACATATTTGAATCTTCTAAAAAGTGATTTCACGTTTTTTTCTTTATATTTCTCTAATAAAAACGCACTAACAAACATGTGCAAGTGCGATTTTCACTAAAATATCTGAATTTTCGAAAATTGCAAAAGTTTAAAAGTATTTCAACTCCTCCATTAACTGTGCTACTAAAGATAAAATCTAGTTTCGTAATTATATCTGTTCTTCAAAACTCAATCTTTAAAGCTTTCCAAAATTTTGAAAATATGAGTTTTTTTATGAAAAATATGAAACAATTTTTAAAAACTCACAAACAAGATTTTCTTGAAACCGGCTGCAAATTTTTTATTTCAATTTTTTGTTATAGTGGTAATAGTATTAGTAGTAGAAAAAGCACGTTCTTGGCTGCTGTCCCCTCCTTTCTCACTCTCGAATCTTTCTGTTATTTCAATCTTTCGAATCTTCATCATCTGATCCTCCAGTCATCATCATTCTAACTTCCTCCTCCCACTTCCTTCCAGGTCTTCCGCTATACCTTCTTTCCTCGAGTACGTACTCCAATACATCATTTGGCAGCCGCTCTCTGTCTAATCTCCTTAAATTACCATATCACGCAGTGTTCCTGTTTTCCAAGGTTAACTTTTCAGTTTTTAGTAAGTCACGGCATCGCCAAAATTGCATTTCTGTAGCTTGAATTCTGGTTTTTGCCCTTGCATTCGCAGTCCATAAGTCTGCTCCATAAGTAAATAGGCTTCAAATATTGTTTTAAATAAGGTAACGTTTGAGTTTCTTTTTATGTCAGAATCCCATTTCAATAGATGTAATGTCCTAATACTTTGCCTGCCTTTGTTTTGTCTGACCTATGAAATTTTTAAAATTGCAACAATTCAATTTTTTGCATGATTTTTTACAACTTTAATATTATTTTTACTTCATCGCACTTCGTAAGAAAGAGTATTGTAATCGTGCACCGGAAAACAGCGAATTTTTGACAGAAAAACTCTTATTTCTAGGCCTGGTAACGAGAAAGTGGATACGTCTTGTTTCTATATATAGAAAAATTCTTCCTCTAACATGTTTTGAAGTCAGAATCAGTGGGTCCTTGAAAAGGAAAAATTGATTGACGGCTGAATGTCTGTCTGTCCGTCAGTCTTTGGTCAAACCTAGCGCCTAATCCGCTCAACCGATTTTCTCCGAAATGTATTTCCCCCAGTCAAATTAAATGAACTCAAAGTCTTTGAGTTTGAAACGGCTATTTTAATTGAGGGAGCACTTTATTTATAAAGCCTCAACATTTTAAAAAAATTCTCAGAAATGACTCCAATTTGTTAATTAAACTTGTTCTCAAATAGCGTAAATGACGCACAAGAGAATGGTACAGATTTAATTTTCTGGTTTTTCGAAAATTGCAAAAGTTCAAATATTCGGCGTCATCCTACAACTACAATATTAAAGGTAGAAATTTTTTGAATGAAATGTATTATTAAAAGACAGTTATTTTTGACTAAAACAAAATATGATCTAAGAATTTAGATTTTTGAAAAAAGCCATGAACACTTTTTTGAAGAAACGAATCGTTTTCGTGTAATCTGTGCTCGAAATGTATGCAATTAGAAAAAAATTCTCAAAAACTGCATCAATTTTTTAATAGTTTTTCCTTTGACATTTTCGTGACAATAGTGCTTTATACATTCAATGCAGTAGCAAGACGCAATTTTAATTTACAGTTTTTAAATTTCAATAAATTAAATATATGTATTATTTTCGAATCCCTGTCACTTCTTTTGGTTATTAGCATGTAATGATTAATGTGTTAACATGACATTGTTTCACGTAAGGGTTACTGGTAATACGAAAAAGTATGTTTTGTTGGACCAGCAGTAGTTTGTTAATTCGATGAAGAGCATGTTTTCAATTACGCAAACATTATTATAATAATTTTGATCTCGATTGCTTACGTTTGTTTGTGTACATTACGTTAAATAGAAGATCAAAAACAGTTAACAAAACCTGACTTTATATTTATAAAATTACCATTGTTAGCTCATTATCAAATGAACTATGTTCGATGATAGTGTAATTAAAGCAATTTTACTCGACAGATGCCAAAAGCGTCTTCGGAGATTCATGTTTCACAAACTAAGAATCTTCGGAAAATGTTCGAAATCGAAGTAGTTTATCTCCCCTAAGAAAAGTAATCATCATCCTTGATTTTATTAAAAAATCATGCTTTCAAAAATCATTTATTTTATTCACCTGGTCATATCGTGAATACTAGTATAAGGAACGGAAGAATCTTTGTATTGATTTAATGATAACGCCAAGTTACTGTGGGGTAAAGTTAAATTTAACGCTGTTCACGGGGACGTATTCCGGGGATTTGTCAAAAAGATGTGAACGTATATTTTTAAACAAGAACGAATGGAAAACACCTTACATTTCAAAATTCCATTGTATTCATCTTCACCAATACAATACTAATCCAATTTAAATTTCATGAAAGCATAAAAGGGTAAGTAGTACGAATACGAAGTTTTCCTTACACTCAAGCAACAAAATATATAGTGACTAATTTCATTTGCAAAAACACACTAGCGCCCTATTATTATTATAAATATAATGATAATATAATAATAATAATAATAATAATAATTATTATTATTATTATTATTATTATTATTATTATTATTATTATTAATGGAAATCCATGTGATTAAATCGCAAGGGACGTTTAAAGACTAATCCTTTTACTTCTCTGGATATTTATTTACCTTACTCATCTATTCAGCCAGGAAAAATAATGCAGTCTACAGTGTATCGTCTCCCTAGCCTGGCCTGGTATAGCCTGTTCTGCCCTGCTCAGTCCTAGCCTTCTCTGGCCTGTTCCTTGCTACTTTTACTCTGTTTCTTGCCTTCGTCTTATTTCTGTGTGCTTTGCCTGATTCCGATGCTACCCGCCTCGCAGCCAGATTTTGCGTAGTGTCGACATTTCTTCGAAAGATCTCTGCCCTCAATAATATAGTTGTAGGTAGGATACAAAAATATTCAAACTTTTGCAATTCTCGAAATTTAGAACCTATGGCATCATTATTATCTCTTATAATATAAGAAATTTAAAGGAAACATTTGGAGCCATTTTTGAAGGAAGTTTGAAAATTTCTCATTGTCTTTCGATTTCCATGCAAAATTATGTGATAACTACTCACATTTTCGGAAAATTGTACGTGACTATTTAAAGATCTGTTTTTGAAGAAAAGATTTTACCAAAGATTTCACTACCTTCAATATTGTAGTTGTGGGAAGTCGCCGAAAAAATTTTGAACTTTTGCAATTATTGATTTCAACCAAAACGATTCATGTAACTAATTTTTGGAATCCCACAGAACGTGGATTCTGACTATATAGCGTGTTTGAGGAAGTAATATTATTTATCCACTTTTTCGATAGCTCATCCCCACAATACTTTTCTCCCGAAAAATCGCCCTTTTTGTCTTAGCATGACTATACTTCCGTACGCACGTAAATAAGCTTTAAGCATTGTAAATATACGTAAGTATTGGATTATTCAAAACCTAATAGTTAAGTTAGACAAAAAGATAATGGGTTCATAATCCTGTATCGGAAATTCATTTGAAAGGGTTCCTGAGAGCAGTCTTCTATCATTTCCGACCGTTTGATACCGGCGAGTTTTAAACAGTGCGGGCCAGCTGCTTCCTGCTTCACGCTCTACCGCCCACTCCAACCATATGCCCGTCAGGCGAGTCGCCTGCATAAAACCTGCGGGCTCGACATTCCTACCATACTTTCTCGCATATTAGGTAGACCCTACCTTCCTTTGAAAAAATAAAAATAAATAAAAAAAAACAACTTTTATTGCCATTTGAACCATTGATTGGAATAAATATATCCCTCAGCGTCGTTGTCTGGCAATATAATTCTTTACCAAAGCAGTAGTAACACTAAAGTACCAACAATATATAATTACTTTATGCGCTTTTTTTGTAACTATTCCTTCGAATGCTTGAAATAAATAAAAAAGCTATATAAACTATATAAGCTAAATAAACTATGTAATGTATATAAGGCTATGTGTATTTTGTCCAATTATTGATTTGGTGTTAATTATTTTTTACACAATTTCTGAAAATATTATGTGTAGAGAATATCCCTGTTCATTTTTAAGTTCTAAAATGTTTCAGTAACATAGGATAAGTACCAATATTGTCTCTTTGGTTCGAGGATTGTTTGTTGCCCGAGGTCATTAAAATCTTTCACGCCAGGAGTCATATAGTACACTTATTTGCTGAACTTTCGTAAAGTCATTTGAACACTTCCATTCGATTTCTAACACGCAGTATTTCTACTGAACTGTTAATTTGTTTAATTTCTTTCTCATAATGCTCTTCCCGCTTAGTTCTTTCATGAACTTCTCCTTTAATGCCTTTGTGGAACCTGCTGTTAGTGTGCCGTACGGCATGAATATATACAAATATCAGTAAAAATAGAAATAAAAAGTTCTATATTTTTATTTATTAATAAATATAATCTATTGAATCCACATGTCACAACGCACTTATTCCATTCTCAGTAGCTATGAATAACTTTCCTCTTCTCTTACTATTGTTTTATGTAGAATGCTTAGGAGACCACGAACGTTCTAACGTCGCAGGTGTCGAGTGATCAATTGCTTATGCTTTTTATGCATTGAATTAATTTGAAATGTTTCCCATCATTTGGCGAGTCCTAGCCAAAGCAGCCATTGGACGCTCGCTCCATGTGTGGTTGTTGATAAGTTTTCATATTCAATATAATCCTGTGCGACATAGAGGTCATTTTCGGGAACAAGAAGATCGTTTCAATCCGACATTTCTCGTCACAGAGTAATTAACAAATGTTTCATTTGTTGTACCGATATCCTCATTCATCAGAGGTAGATTAAGGCATAAGCAGACTAAGCAAGTGTTAAATGTCTCCGCTGCGTGGGGTGGCCAATAACACTTTAAACAAACTTTTATATTACTTCTTAAATACTCAACATATTGTAATGTTTTAATTGGAAATAAAATAGTTTATTTTCATACTAATTTTTACTTTCTCGTCTACTGCTTAGGCAGTATAAAGTATTGTAACGCTGAGGGGGAAAACGGCAAATTTGCAAGAGCAAAACTCTTGGGCCGGTACTTTTGGGCCCTGGGAAAGAAAGAGTAGATAAATCTTGACACTATATATAGTAATATACTTCCTCTAACACATTGTGCAGTGTGAATCCACGTTTGGTAGGAACTTGAATCCGAAAAATCGATTGGCGGTAAAACGTATCTGTGTCCACCTGGCCTGAAAACAACGGTAACGGCTAAACCGTAAATAGTATTTTCTCCAAAACTGATATTTACCGGTCGTTTTCACCGATGTTGGGGATATTTTACATGAAGACTCAACATTTACAAAATTTTCTCATAAAAGGCTCTATATTTTTTTCTCCGATAAGAAAGACGCATGAAGATGTTATATAGGCGTAGGTCCCATTTTTGTTTACACCCTGAATTTTCGAAAATTGCAAATGTTAAAACCTTTTTTGTCGTCTTCCTACAATTACAATAACGAATTTTTTTCTTAATGAAATCTGTTCACCTGAAATACCTTCAAACAATAGCATGATCAATTTTTTCAAATTATGAATAGTTTTTGCGCAATTTTGCGTAAAACACAGGCAATTTTTAAATTTTAAACAATTATTTTCTCAAAAATAGCTCCGAAATTATCTTTATTTTTTCCTCGTATGTAGCAAAGAACGGTAAAGAAAGTGCTGCTGGTCTAATTTTCGTCGCATTCTCTGTATTTTCGAAAATTACAAACAATTTCGAAAGTGTAAATTCTAATTTCCCGCACTTTGTTGACGCGCTATCAACTCGTAAAGTGGCAAACGGATGTTTCAAATTCTCTGAATTCTTCTCATTGTTGCCGCCGTCACACGTTGCGTGATCGTATAATGTTAATATTCGTATGAAAGCAAATAGATTTAAGGAAGGTAATAGATTTTACTTACAAATAACAAATACACTCCTGTAGCTTTTAAAAGATTTGATCGCTGATTAAGTTATAGTATTAAAAAATTGGAAGTTTACTTCGGTGTAATCAAGGTTAGCTATGTTAAAGAATCCTTGCTTTTCAGTATAATATTCTACAAATAATGTAACGGGCTATTTATTCGTGTTTGTTTCATTGGTAAAAGTAAGAAATGACTACTATTCCTGACTATCGAAATAAATGCATGCTTCGCTTCGTTTAAGACTTTTTGAAGTTACGTATATATCTGAGGTGTTAGTAGGGCCGAAATTACAATATTACCTATCTGTTTTCAAAAATGCAAGAAAGTATGTGTTGTTGTAGTACTACTTCTAGTTATCACATGTGTCCAGTATTTCAATTTTGTTAGGGGGACCCATTGTACGGTCCTTCTTAATGCCCCTTACGATATTTATCCGGTCCTGAGTATACATATTATATCCATGTATTCAATTTAATCCTGATTTGGAGAGTATTATAGCTTTTTAGATATTAGTGAGTAGTTAGCAGGATTATCTTAACTTTGGCACAATTTGGGTCCTGTTGTAGGCGTAAATATCCAGGAATTGCTAAAATTTCTCTGGGACATTTGACGGGGTTCTCGCCCACTTATCTGTGTGAACGCGCTTTCTCAATTCTCAAAAATCACTCTTTTGATTTTAAAAAGTTCAGGAACAATTTTTTATTCATTTATTTACGTCAACAACAGCTAAAAACTGTGTGACGTGCTATGAGGAGAAGTTAATTTGACGTCACATTTCTGTCCTGAAGCAAAACAATGGGCCATCAGCATTTGCTCGAGGATCAGGGAAACTGGACAAAAACCTGATCGAGATGGGGGTCATTGACACAGAAGCTGAAGTACAATACTTGTTACAGATTCTTTACTATTATACAATCCATACAATTTAGAGTGACTTGATGAAACTTTCAAATATGTATCAAACTGATCCAACAACGACTTCCAATTGTTCAACGTAAATGTCCATTTAAAATTCTGAAAGTCATATTTCAATTCTATCATTAAGGAACCAAGAAATTCAGGAAATGTGGGGGGGGGGGGAAACCCTATAACTTTGGGTACCGACATATGGCTGCTATGAAGAGGGTGAAACAAACCTTAAAAATTAGCCCAGACCAAAGGAAGTTTATAGTTATTCTACTTATATATTCTAAGTATTATGTTTCGAAAAGTGGACCTGGCTACTAGATTTGAATAAAGAAGATTCACTTTGACCGAGATAGCCACCGGGTATATAAATAGCAATTTGTTATTTCTTTATGCTCGCAATTTCATTGTTATTTTGCAGTCATATCTTAAATGTTTCGCATTCTACTTACGTGGTATAGAGAGGGAGTTTTGCCGGGTATTGTAATGCTGCAGGAAAAAATTGCGATTTTTCGACATAAAACTCGTTTTGTGGGACCATAATACCGAAATATTGGGTAATTGGTTTTTCTATATGCACTAAACTTTCTCTTACACGTTGTGTAATCAGAAATAATGTTTTGCCGGCCTTGATGTCGAAAAATCTGTTTAAGGCGAAATGTCTCTACGTCATTCTGTCCGTCCCTCAGTGAATAACTGTAGGCATGGTCTTCAGGTTCATATTCTTAGATCGATCTGACTCATGACTCCTGGAATTTGAAATGTTCTTTTAAAATTATTTTTATTTTGGGAGTACTTTACATGAATCCCTCAATGACATTTGCAAAATGTTCTCACAAATGGCTCCAAATTTTTATCGCAAAGTAGGTTTATAAAAATGAAGCGGGTTCAATCTCCATTCAGTTTTCTAAATTTTTGAAAACTGCATAAGTTTAAAAAATACCGACGTCTTCCTACGTCTAGAATGTTGAAAATATATTTTAATTTCGCATATACTGCTCAAATACTACAGAGAAAGTATGGTAATGTCCGGGCAAAAACATCCGTCTTCTTTGCTCGTTCTTCCGTCTTCGCTAGCGGCTGAATCCGGCGGATTTTCTCCAAATTCATAATGTCCCATCGTTCTGGCTGATGTCGCGGGCCCTTGAATTTGAAACGGATGTTTTGATTTTGTGTTATACTTTAAAGAAAGTTTCAAAATTTTCCGAATTTTCTCAAAAATTGTTCCAATTTGTTTGTTTAAATTTGTTCTTGGTCAGGTTGAAAAAGCATTCAAAAATGGTGCTTTTTAATTTTAGGAAATTGTAAACGTTTTACATTTTTTCGGTGTCTTCCTACAGCAACAATATTGATGATTAAATTTTTTTGGGCTACAGGTCTGTTTCCAACTTTTTAGTGGGGGCAGGGACCTCCCTCCCTTAAGTACATGTCAATGGTTCCATTATCCCATATTCACACACACACACATTCAGAGGGAATAAACCTAATCTTAAAGAAAGTTGATTGAGTCAACTAGTGATACTTTTCATTAAATTTACATTTTAAAAAGTTTAATTTTTTGTACTCCTATACATTCTTTTCAAGTCCTCTTTACAAAAGTATTTTGAAGTCTATCAATAAAGCTTCATACTTCAATGTTGTTTCCCTCATACATATGTTAAAATATATGTTTTTTTCAAATAAACACTGCACAAATGTAGTAAATGTTTATTCAAACATTAAATTATTGGTTTCAAAATTGTTAAGGGCTGGTAAATCAGGCCTTACGTTTCTCAGGCGCATATCATATGAAGACATCTTCAGTGCACCCGTTTTCCAGATTCAATGAAAACGTTTAATGCACCCACCTTCATACAGTGTTATGCAGTTCGATGACTGAAATTCAATCCCTTCCTGAGTAGTCCCAGCTAATTTTTCTAATTTAATTATTTTTATTTAATAAATTCACTATCACCTTCTTCTTCAAAGTAGACACAGGTCCAATTTAATTCTGGACCCAAATATTAAAAAGGTTTATAAGAACTAATATGAAATAAATTGTATTTTCCAGATTTCTTAAATCCCATCACAAAGGATGTGACTGTTCAAGAATGTGGACTGATGGAGCGAGATGGAGACGTGGAAAGTACATTCCTTATCACCGATCTGAACCCTATTGCTCTTGAGCTCAATATGATTGAACCTGAAGTAATAACTTCAGATACCTTGTTTTCGGATGACATGGATTTTGAGTGCTATGAATTTACACCACAGCAGTTGCAGGTGTAAGAGACAGCTCTGCATCAAGCAAGGCAATGCAGACCCAATACATCACCTAGCACCTATAACATTTACCTCTTGCTTCCAAGAAAAATATTTTAATAATGTGTCCTATCCTGGGCAATAGCTTAACTTGTTAGAAAGTAGCATATTTTATGTAACTTCTAACATTGTTCAAGCAAGTTGGAAGTTTACTGACAGTTTTGTAATTTGCACTGTAGTCGTGTTGTTCCTACCAGAATTTTAGTCAGCAGACTATAGATAAAAGTCTTGGAAAGGTAGATATGATAATTGATCTAGTCATGTAGATTTTGTGCACACTGTCATATTTAGAATGTCACGTAGTGCATTATTCTTTTTAGCTTAATGCATGTGTTTTATAATAAATGTTTCTATGAACTTTTGTTTATAATATTATTATATATTTACCTAAGGATTTTCAGAAATAAAGTAATGAATCATATATGAACAGCTAATGAAATCATGGCGAGTATTTCATATCATGTAATACTGTAGTTGTAGTAAATTAAACAATATTTATAATTCTGTATATTTACAAAGAAAATAATTTGCTTAATACTAATGATTTCTTATTATTGGCTTTTGAGGAAATTGATTGTGCTGCAACTGATTTCTGTATTGGAGAAATTGAAAAAAATGATTATAAATCATCACAGAATTGTAGAGAACAATGATGTACAATATGAGTGAATTGAACAAGACGGGACTGATTTATACTGAATAAATGTCTTATATCTCGTAATTACCTGTCTTACTGCTAATGCTTTCTTTAATCATCCTTCAGAACTTTTCAGTTATTACTCCAAGAAACTTGTTATATGTCACTTACTACAGTGTACCTATGACAATTTTCTGAACCATATTTATGCTACACATTTTTTTAAAAATTGTATTCAAAATAATTTAACCACACTTCTTGTAAGACTAATAATGTTATTTTTAGACCATCTGCCCTTCTATAGATTACCGCAGAGTTAGTGTCTACCTGCAAATACTAATTACTTACCAAATACATTCTTCCAGCCAGTACCAATTCAATCATGTTTAATAATAAGAATTTTAGATTAAATAAAAGAACTTACACTCCTAAACACTTGTTTATAGGATTTATTCTATTAATTACACTGTCTTTATTTGATGATTAAAACATCCCTTATTGATAAATTATGTAATGCTGAAAACGAAGGAGGGAGTTTGAGACAGCTTGACACTGTGCTACATAGGGGCAGGGGGGTCATAGTTTAGCATGACATGATGCTGATATTTATATTTAAAATCTTTTAACATTTGCTGAAGTAATTCCTTTTTATTCAATCATACACTACAACATTACCACATTAACAAATTAAATAAAAAAATATAATAAATGAAAGAAGTTATATTCTATACATTTTTACATTATATGAAAATATTTTTTTCATCAACGATATAGGTATTGATTGAATCTTTTAGATTACGAAGAAAATATTCAAAACTGATCTGTAGTATGTTCTAGGATCCTATTAGTTGGTGCAGTAGACTCAGAGTGATGCCATGTGCACGACTTGTCAGAAAGTTTCTCGCCTACATGCCCTTCTTTCATAAAATATTTATCCCAAAACTTATTGTTATGCGCACAGTCCACACCAGCCACGTTGTCATATTAATTGTAATAATTTTTAATGTATAACACAAATACAAGTCATCCAACTCGTTCCTGCTAGATGTAATAGTTTTACTTACGTTGAAATTGGTGGTGGTGGGGGAGAGAGCTTGTTGCAATTTTTTCATAATTATTAAAGGGGGGTTCAAGTGCACGTTATTAAAGGGGGGTTCAAGTGTTACATGAGGGAGAGGAGATATTCAAAATACTCCAAATTTGCAATGCATTATTTATGGACAGCTCCTCAGCAATAGACAGTGTTTATTTTTACATGTATTTTAAACAATTTAAATTTGTATATTACATAATATTATACAATGTGTCCAAGGAGGAAATGTTGAACATAAGCAATTAAGACAATTTTAAGCATATTTTGTCAAATAAAGTATGTGGATATTCCGAATGGCTTAGCTGCTCAAAAGATGGTAGAAAATAATTATTTCTAGGCAAAAATTTGCAACAAACTCTCCAAGAACATGTAAATTGTTTATTATTTACAAAGGAAATGAATATATTTGTTCACAAAAAAAAAAAAAAAATTAACCCAGAAATAAAAACACACCCAATATACACAATTTGACTGATTTTTTTCTCAATTAATTATTCTTTCTGAACAAATATATTAATTTATTTTGTAAATAATAAACAATCTACATGTTTCTGGAGTGTTACTATGTTTTTGTAATGCAAATTTTTGCCTAGAAATCATTTTTTCAAACCAACTTTTGGTGGCTCAGCCATTCGGAATAACCACGTAGTTTATTAGACAAAGCATGCTTAAAATTGTCTTAAGAGCTTATTTTCAAAGTTTTGAGGTTTCCTCCCTAGACATCCTGAATATTATAACATTTTGGTAATAATTTTTTATTACCAACATCAAGTTATTAAACAAATTACAACGTGTATATAAAACAAGATCTAGATTAGAACTTGCCTGGAGGAGCTGAAAAGATAGTATCACTTCATAGGCATACTGTAGAATAATTGTCCTATGACCTATTCAAGTTCAGTGAAAAGACATCTTCCTCCATTATCAAAAGAACAGACTTTAAAGCTTGAGAAGGACTTACGTCAATTGTGAGTGAAATTCATTCTTACAATTCACTATGATCAGATAATGAACAAAATTACTGATTCAGAAAAGCTGGGAAGAAAACAAATGAAACTTGACTTGAAAGTTTCTCATCAATTTTTCTGCATTCTAAAAAATTGTCATTTTTCCACTATAAACAACATTATTACACATTCATTTTTATAATCCATGATATTGTAGCATGCAAAATAATTATAAAACCCATGCAAACCAGGTAAGTTCTTCATTATACCAATTACCATCACCCTCAATAATAAATGGTCAAGGATCAAAAGCAAATAGCATTTGTGATTAACCTAAAAATAAATGCTGATTCCAAAAACAGCTTTGAAAGAAAATATTATCTTTTTCTGCTGCTATGCTCATGAAATTTTCAGATAATTACTGCATCATACACACCTCTTCCAAAATCATGGAATGCACAAAGTATTTTAGATTATCTTCAAACCAGAATAAGGATATAAGTAACTAGGGAGCATTAAAAGAATGGTTATCAACATTTCACTGCCCTATAATTAATTTGTTGTATCTTGATTTTTGTTCTTCACTTTTATTTATTTTATATAACAGGCAATCACCCAATTTATACAACTTCAATATATATATAATATTTATTACATTTGCTCATAGTTTGTATATTGTAACATTTGTTTTCAATTATTATTCAATTTGTTTTGACTACCCATATTTAAATCAACATTAATTTTATTTACTAGCTTAGACATAGGTCAAAGTGGGGCATTATACCAAACATTAGTTGTCACTGTGGGGGTGTAAAATAGAACATTAGTAGATCTAAAATTCCGTGTAAAGATTTTCCATGAAACAATAGATAGTAAATATAGACAGTTACATTATTATGTAAAAGGTTGCATAAAAAAACAATGTCGTTAAGGTTTTGTTAATATGACAAAGGAAAAATCTTCAAATTTCAGCAATTAAGACGTCATGAGATATTCTGGGCGATGGGAGTTTTAGTTTCAAAGCTACAAGAGTAAAAAATTGTGTTGAATTGATTCAATTTTATCAACACGTATAGCATAAAAAGGAGATCAGACAGGAGAAGCATATAGAAAAAAAAGTAATATAAGTGTGAAATATAGAATTTTAAATAATTTGGGATCACAAGTCTGTTGTATTACATTTTATAAATCCATTTTACAAATCCCATCATATGTAAAGCCTTATTTGTCATATGATCAATATGAAAATTAAATATCAGTTTTTGATCAAAGATGACACCTAGATCTTTTAAATTATATGACAGATATAAATTAGATACATTGTAGTATGCAGATATTTTACTTGCCCAGAAATTTTCAGATTTACATGTGTCTTTAGATTTACTTTGTTCCAAGTTGTACTACCAATCACCTGTGGATTTTATGCCATGAATTTGAAACACTGTTGTCATTCAATGCTCTATGTTGGTTGTAGCAGACATTTTCCAAAAGGAATTCCACAGCTTTTCTACCTGAATGTACCTCTTATACTAGGTTCTGGCCCTTGCACTTGCAGAGGTGTTCCGTAATATATATTACTAAGAGATAAATATGAATGTATATACTTTATAATGATAAAATGGCAAAAATACATAAATACTATGAACGAGAGAAGTGAACAACTTTCAATAACTGAATATGGTCTTAAGAATGCTGAGGTGTGGCACATACATTTCATAATTAATTTTCACAGTCCAATTTAAGATATTTTTCTTATTACAAATATGGTGTAAAAGGTCTATCGTACTTGAACAAGTTGAATTTCAAGCAAATGATTAAGAACCATCTATGAGTGGAGAAAAACCTCAAAGGAAGAAAAATTCAAAGAACCATTCTCATGAAAAAAAAAAAAAAATAGCATTTGTAAGAGAGTTACGTAGACTTTAAAGGTGAAGAATCTACAAAAACGCAAAATATACAGATAATAAATAACTCTGTTAAGTTAGTATTTCATACTCTTAAGTTTCTGTTTAACTGTATTTGATTTACTGCAGATGAATGGTTTAAAAAAGAAAATTACTATTTATTATGTTCAAACATGATGTTAGTACAAACCAATTCTAAACATACACAGATAAAATTATGATTTTTTCTATAATTTTATTTTTCTATTTGCAAGTCATACTCCAATGATAAACAGAAACTACAATTGCTCACATTTTAAGAAAATCTTATTGTTTAGCTCAGCCAATAAGACAGCATATTTACATGAAGGGTGCAGTAGAAGAATTTTTCAAATCTTCAAAACAAATGTTTGTGGACTTAATGCAAACGAATTCTCAATTGGTAATTTATTGGTTGAAACCATCTCCCATTATTTCTCCATTACAGTGTCCCAGCAGCTTTCTTTCCACAGAATACATCATCAACCTCATTTTTATCCCTCCCAAACGACTCATTTTGAGGCAATGTTTGTTGATGTGTATATATTTTCTAAAAACATAATTCAAAAATAAAAATAACACTAAATTTTTAATTCTGATTTAAATAACTATGAAGGATTTTTAATCACATTGCAGAATAAAAATATTTTGTTTCAACTAAAAGTTGATTCACAGTCAAATCATTTTTATATATTTACAGTATAAAATAATGTTGCTTTCTGTTAATTTTTAAAAATTTATTTTCATTTCTTAAAGTTGTAACTATATCACTGATATATGTGACGTGGACATCAGAAAAATGTTAAAATCATATATACATTTTGCTGGTTATAATTGAGTTTGTATGTTTGCACAAAATGTAAATAAGCTTCTTGGGGCATGTTTCACAAATGATTTATTGAAAAACCACAAATTTTCACAAGATATAAATTGAAATGGTGTACATCACAATGACAAATTACTGTTTAGATCTACAAATGATGTGCAGTCTTCAGAAACACTATGCACATACAAACCTGCCCACTTGATAACCACTCATTTTATATACCTGCTGACCACTACTTCTGCTGAATGAAATTCCTTGTATTTTCCAGGATTTGCAAACTAACTTAGGCCTTATTCCTACACCATACACATAAAGCGAAACACAAAAGTAATATTGAATACAACACCCGAACATAATGAACATGAACCTGATAAGTTTATTATTACATACTAAGCTATAAATTCCATTGCAGGGCAAACGTCTCGATGAAAGATGTTGGCGGTGGTGGTCCTGTAAGTATCACTTCCAGGCGAGAAAGTCCTCAAGTGTGTATTTGAATTGCTACACCAAGAACAACATTACTAAACCCTACGAAGACTGGGGCGTTGGGGAAGTATCATTTGCACAGAGCAGTGTAAAATACAAACAATAACTGCCCCAATAAGTAAACTTCCAATTCTTCAAAGATTGTAAATACTGTATATTTTTTAACAAAATATAGTAAAATTACACCAACAAACAATCTAGCTTTGGGAGAATGCCTTTACCCTGACCTGCAACCTATAACTGCTCAAAGCAATCAACCCTGCTTGACTATCCCCAATGAGAATACCATTTGGATTTTCTGCGCTACTAAAACTGACTTTTCATTTCCAATTACACTTCCTTCTTAGTAAATAAACTACATCTTTGCTCATAAAAACAAAAGAATGTATCTTAAAAGAGGGCCTCTTCTTATACATATTTATATTCAGAATCGCTCAACCTCTTTTGAGTATTACTGAATTTATATCACTAAACCCCCCTAATAAAATGAATTCTCAAATGCTTGAGGAAGGAAAGTAATATGTTAATGCTAAGAAATAATGTAACAAGTAACGTATTTCTAATAACAATTGATTAAAATAGCTTTGTATTAAAAAAGATGCATATGCCAACATCTCATTCAAATGTACAAACTAGAAAATCTTAGAGAAAATACTAAAGATTAAAAAGCAATTCAATACAACAAGTTCCTTATAATGTAGGTAAAAATGTCATTGAATAAAAGTAGAAATAGAGTGTAGAAATTACTGTATATTGTTGAAATTGTATTAATAAATATAATTAAACATACTTACGTTTTCATAGCGCTTAGGAAGAGAATTAATGGTGGACGGCAGACCAGAGTGCAAAACAGGTGTGAACAACACCAATTTGACCACTTGCTTTAGGAAAATCAGCTTGGAAATTGAAATTTTCTTTTGAGAATTACTACCATAGTTATTTATGACATTAATATTATTAGAAATCTCACTACAATTGCAACTGTCTTTCTAAAATTAGTTGACACAAAATTTTTCAATAGGAAAGACTCCAACACTTCAAACATTTTTAATTCCCATAACTATTAAAGCTAATAATTTGCATTGTGACACAGTATATTCACAACCTCTTTCTCATAAAGCTCTACATCCCAAATTTACCTCATTAATTTCTTATAAAACAAAAAATTGTCACAAACCAAATAGTATGACTCCAAAATACACAACACAAATAAACACTACTCAAATACATGTAATTTAAAATAAATTCCAAGACAATGAAAAGTGGAAAGGGTGTTAAACTCATCAATACATATTTGTCTTTCACAAGGAATATGGAGTCATACAAAATACAGAGAACATTTACATGTGCAGTAAGTAAAGTTCCACACTGAAGTGCAATAAAGTGCATTTCCCAAAATGCCCCATGGTTAAGACACCACAAGCTGACATAGCCAACATTGAAATATAGTTGAACTACATTATGATGAGACTTCTGCCAACTGAACAACTTACTATATTCATGCAGCGACAAGGGTGGATCCAGCTGTTCATTCGGGGCACACTTTTTGTTAAATAATAAACATATATGATGTTATATTGAATGTCATTTATGTACTGAAGATATGATACTATAAAATATTGTTTAAATAATTCACACATAAATATTTAAATCAATTTTGCCAAATAAAGGTAGGTAAACAAAAACTCTAGGTCATTTGGGAGGAGGGTGTACAAACCCCCTCCCTGGATCCGCCAGTGGGCAGAGAGAAGGGATGGGAAAGAAAGACTTCTCAGGCAGAACACTTAGCTCTTAATTCTATATCTCTGGCAAGAAGGGTTGATAATGAACTAAATGTAATAATACCTAATAAACTGATAAAAGTATAGTTCAAACATACCTTAATGATATTTTACTGTTTACTTTAAAACTAATGATGTTACAAGAATCTAGTCCTAATTCTAAGGAAGGAGCTTTAAGCCAGATACTTGACTCTTGATTACTCTTCAGCTATAAGGTCAACAGTGTTGACCAATTTCTCATCTTTGATAGAACTTTCTATATACAGAAATTATGAATTTTGTCATTTATGTCAACACATTCTAAATGCAACTATTAAAAATGAGAGGTCTCAAAACTATAGCTTATGTGTTAGATTCAGTTCCAGATAGGATTTCATCCAGCCCACTTTACTTTCAGACCAGGATCTCCTGAAGAGAGTGGTGGAAAAAATCAGGGGCAATGATGACAAGAAGACTTGAAGGAAGATGATGATGGTGGAACTGGAGCATGTTGCTCATTTAAAGACTGGGTATGGAGCGTGAATAATTCAAACACAGAAGGGGTTTTGACAAAATCATATTACCACCTTCATGAAATTCATTCTGACATTATGTGTGCCTACTTTCAATTATTCCTGAATAATGAGCCATATTTCAGAAGCCTCTAACACACTAGGAAAATGTACGAGAAAACTCTTACAAATAAAAAGTCTCATTAAAATAAATTAAAATTCATTTGAAACATTACATTCTAAATATGTTAAATTTGTTCTTGAATTTTAAAAAATGCACATGTGTATCTCCTGAAATAAACAAAATTTTATATCTATTATTAATTTTTATTCTCATAATTTTTTTGACATTCAAGAATTATTGTCTTCCAATTCATTTCATGTAAACACAAGTGTGCTGAGTAATAATCGCTTCAGCCAGCAGCCGCTGTCAGGAATGGGGGTGTGGCCCTCCCCTTGAAAAGTTTTGGGACCCATTAAAAATGAATAACCACTATAATATTACTCAATTGAAACTTTTTATCCTCCCAATAATTCTAATGATGAAAGAATGATTTGTCTCGTTGATCTTCAAACTGCCGTAATGTGTCTTAACTGCCTGTGATTTACCAATGATAAAGTGTGTCCAATGATGAAGCAGATTTCTCCCTAGTTAAAAACACTGACTATTGTTTAAGCAAGAAGCAAAAGTTGAACTGCGAGAATGGGTTATTTAAAAAATTGAGGAAATAAAAATAATTGCCACACATAAAAACATAAACGACACATTGTCAAATTTAATTTCACAGAAGAGAAACTTCTGCCAAATATTAAATGAAAATGATTGAAGATTAAGATATTTTATTAGTTTTGTCATGCATTTATTTTCAAGGCATACTATAATATCCATGTACTAATAAATATAAATAAATTCATTCTACTATAGTCATCTAATTTGACTTTCACAAATAATGCATTTAAAATATTCAAGACTAACAATGAAGACCAGTGGGTGAAAATTAAGTTACCCCTTGATTTCATACCACAAAATTAATTAATATGACTAAAAACAAAGACTGAACCATAGAATATTAAAACAAAAAATTCAAATAAAAATTTGCGAAATGACTTTTGTTGAGCAAGAATTTTATATGTTACAATTTGAGAAATCAACCACTATAGTTATACAATATTTAACAATACCCACCCACACCATAATCCACACCAATAAATCTGTTCTAATCTACATGTATATCTAAGGTGGGCTGCCTCACAAAATAGTATGTTTTATGAGCATTCATGGTCATGTTTACTGTGACAAATAACATCAACACCTCTACCTAATAATAATAAAAAGAATTTAATTGCGGACATGAAATAAAAAACCTCGATACTGAACCCAGGATCAGGGTAGCTCAAAGAAACTACACAAAATCCTGAGAATTCTCTTTCAAAGAGAAAATAACCTAACAAAAGTGTTACAAAAATGCACAAACACAAAACTGGTAGCTACTTGTGAGATCGGAGACTTTATAGTAAACAATACAGAATATTTATTCAGTTAACATTGGTAAAACATATTCATATATCACATTAATTGTATCAGCACACTAGAAATGTAAAGGACTACAACAAGAAAATCATAATTCTAGAAACCTGACAAGATATCTTTGTAAATACGGCAACATAAGCTTTCTAAATCACCATATTATCAGAACAAAGTCACAACTGTAGGAGTATTTTAATACAGCAATATTCTTTTACTTTTAGTACAAAACAAAATTAACGATTTTACTTTACTTTAATCTTCTCTTTGGCGCATGTTCAAGCAAAGTTTGGCGCAGGGTCAAGCAGTGCAAAGGCACCAAACTCGTAAAGAATTAAAAACAACAAAACAATCCTGTTTTATATCACCGTTTTGTTTTAACAATACCACCTGCTAATCGTGCAATCAGTCAGTAATATAGCCACTGATCCAAAGCGTGAGGTTAGGTTAGTGTGCACGTGCGGGTGGGAGAAGAGGAAGCTCTACCGGCCTCCACCCCCACCTCCGCCACCCGCTGCCCCCTCTGGATTAGCTGCCCCAGACAGCACAAGAAATATCACCAATGGAACTATGTACATCCACTGAAAACAGAAACAAACATTCTTGAATCTAGAGAACCATTCCATGATTCAATTAAAATAAGAACGAGATGACCATTAATGTTAATATTGAAAGTCATTCATACAGTGAAACAATGTAATTTCAAAAAAGTGAGAAATTCAGTACAAAGTAAGATTGAAAAAAAGTTAAAAAGTTAATCACTAACACATATCAAAGTTAGATTATGAACTAACAAATAAAACCCTAAGATGCAATGTTCTCATTTTCACTCCTGGGCTGCAAGAAGTTGCACTCTCTGCAGAATGTTATTTAAGGTCAATAGATAATGCTTTGCCATTTTAATGACCAAATGTTAAAGCATTTCTGTTGAAACTAACAATTTCAGATGCGTCCTTGCCAAACAATATAGAGTTATTAATTTAATTAGTTGCTTTAAACAAATCTCAACCCATACACATTTTAGTAGGAGAAAATGCTAATATAATTATGAGAATATGATTAATAATTAATGAAAAAACCCTTTTCATGCATTGTTTAAACACATGCTCTTAATCAGGTAAAATGATTATGTGGAAATTAGGATTTTTTTTGAATGTCTCACTTATTTATTAGATAAAAAATACTGTTTTACAATACTGAAAATAGTGAGAGGCAGAAAATTATAAAAATTAAGTTCTATATCCAAAAAGCATTCCTTGCAAAATAAAAAAGAAAAGACAAATGAAGATATACACAATAAAATTCAAAAATTTCCAGAAGAACGTTTCCAAGTAACTTACATATTTGGCAAGGAATGAACGATTATCTTTTGTTTCCCCACGCTCACGAGCTTCTTTCTCCCGTTCCAATTTTTGAATGTAGGCAGCAGTATCAGGTCTGAAAGATAAGAAAAATTTAACTGCTGAGTGAGATATACTGTGCTCATATTTTTTTGTAGAAAATTATCAAACTGTACTAACACAGGCCCTTGTTCCATATGCTTCACAAATACTGTAGTGTTGAAAAGTCGAATGTCATCTTTTGTCACCAATTGTCCTTCGCAAACACCTGGTGATGTCATCATAGACACTCCTATTACAGAACCCGTATGGTCTAGTGACACTGACAAAATGTCTGACAAATGAGATTCCACTAGCGAACACTGGCAACATAAAATTGCAAAATCAGCTACCGCAACTATAAGCTATTTAAGTGACATGTATGAATTAAACAAACTTACTGCTTTAACAAAAGTTAAAAAAGATGTTTCTTTTCCATCAGCACTTTGCACAGAGGAATGAAGTCTATATATGCCACCTTTCTCTGAAAGCTTCTATAATACATATACCATACACCAATAAAATGTTTGAAAAGGAATAAAAAAACAACAACTTATGATCACAAAATAATGAAGTACATTACACACCAACAATTTTTCTCGATCAGAAACCGAGAGTGGTGGCTGCTCCAATGACACAGAACCTGACCGAATACTATAAACAAATACAGTACCTCGGTCATGGAAATCAGGATTTGGAACGTGATCTAACGCATGTTGTAATTTAATTTTAATTAAACCATCGTAGTCAACATCCACCTGAAACTGGTCGGAAATAATATTTAAGCTTCATTTGAACTCTATTTCGTTCTCGCAGAAAATTCACACATTCTTTGAAATTCGGGAAAACATATTTACGGAGAATGGTGAGAATACATTTCTTCACCAGTATTTTAGTACGAGAAATTAATTACACAATTTTTCACACCTTCTTTATGCTTACCGATAAAGTACGTACAGCATAATGGAAGCACAAAAGAACAAAACACAAAACTCGAACCATTTTTTATTGATTTACCACAGGAACATGTGGTTCAGAAAAACTTTATCTGTCTCCCATTTAATTTGTCACATTGTCATTACCGCAACATCCTAAGCGTGGGACTAAAATTGCGCATAAGCGCCGGCATTTGTTAACACCGCGACGCCTCTTCTGGCAGAAGCTGGAATCTATAATGTACCTATAAAAGTAACTTAATTTTTAACTATAAAAAATAACTTATAGTAGGTCAGCAAATGCTTTACACCATGAGACCAGTAAATCAGAGAGAATGAAGTGAAGGGCTTATCGAGTTCTGCTTTCCAAAAATCGGTGGAGTTCAGCGAGGTGTTGTAATCAACCAACTAGGTGCACGTTATGTTGAACTCTGCTTTATGCTGCACTTTATGTTGAACTTTGCTTGGAATGGTAAGAGTACAGGTAAGGGCGATTGCTATTTTGTTAGCAATGAAGAAAAATCATACGTGCAATTCGTGTTCCGATGCAAATACATTTTCTATAACTCGGAAACGAAAATGACCATTTTTCAAATATTGCTAAACTTGCGATTTTAAAAAAATATTTTTATTTATTTATGTTACAGTTTTCCTCACCTTTCAACAATTTATAGTTAAAATGACGGGAAAGGATTCTGGAACTCAAGAAAACGTGTGCAGATAATCTCTCCCCCCCAACGTCACAGTTTAAACTGTTTTTGACTAAATAAATCTAAATCTAAAACTAGGCCTTTATTCTGAAGAATTTAAGTTTGCCAAGTTTTTGGGATAGAGTTCCATTAGTTTTTATTATTTAGTTATTCTAAGTATTCTAAACACTAATTGGAGGTGCTAAAACAGCACCTACTATCTCGCCCGTAATTTCACGCAAAAGACGGGAAAAGCACTCACATTCTCGAAAAGTTGTACACGATATTATTTGAAAATCTATCTTTAAGGAAAAGATTTCATTAAAGAAAAATTGTCTAGTTCCAATATTTCAGTTCTTAGAAGAATCCGAAAAATATTTGAACTTTTGCAATTTTCCAAAACAAAAACAGTTTTAAACGAGATTGAGACCCGCGCCATTCTTTTAAACACCCTTCTAACTATCCAACAACAAAATTTAATCACAAACGATGGAGCCATCTTTTTTAAAGAAAATGGTCCAGGGGCTTTATTTGAAGTACCCCCCCCCCAAAAAAAAACAAAAATTAAAATATCAGTTTCAAATTCAAAGGGGCCTCGACATCAACCAGATTGATTGAAGAATATCAATCTCGGAGAAAATCGGCTGAACGGTTTAGCCGCTAGCGTTGTTATCAGACGGACAAACGGGCGGACAGATGCATGTTGTCGTCATTCGATTTTTCGGTATCGTTTGGTAGGGTTCTTCTATGGTATTTACTTGATGTTCGTCGGAGAAACCACGGAAAACTATCGATCTGAGCAGCCAGCCGCTGGAATTCTCCTCCAGACAGCGACATGGACTTCATGCAATTGTAGCAATGCATTTGCTGAATAGTTCTGCCGCATTCTGCAGGTTTTTGTTTGTTTTTAATACCTTTTGGAATTTCAATTTGCATTTACCGAAAAAAGATCAGGTATCGCTGCCACTGAATGTATGAAGAAATAGTACGGTACATTGAGTTTAGATTCTTGAGAAACTTGCAATTTAAGAGGCGTAGACACTATCGTCTGGTCTGGCTGTTTCCGGCTTTAGTAGAAAAATGTTGGTGAACGCTGGGGCTGAAGCATTCAAAATAACAAGAAGGTCGATGCCCTTCCATAACGTCAATCACATAGTCAGTTGGCTGAGCAACTCAAACTGCATTGGTCATTAACACGGTATCGATGACATTAGCAGCAGACTTTATATTACTTCATCAGAAAGGGTTGATACAGTTTTTTGGAGGCTCTGCGCAGCCGATCAGCTGATTTAGTTCTCTTCTCACATGACTCATCAGGATACCCACAATGATCACATTTTTGCACTACAAGTGCTGAAATAGTCTACATGTTTTGCTGATTCGGAACAAATTGGTTCTTTTGTCTCTCATGCCACTCTACGAAAGAGAAATCCTTCATCCACGATAAAATATGTCTTTTCAAAATCAATTGAGACTTTATGGGATTCACACAACTTGTGAAACAAGATTTTGGAGTTCTTTGCATTCCTGTCATGAAACGTATATGCAGAATACGGGAGCACTCATACTGAAAATCTTGCTGGGGCTCTTCATCAGACATCTTGTGGTACGCGATTCTGCGACAAATCATTTCATCGTTTGCTGGAACGAGAAAGGTATGTGTTTCGACATAAGATGTCAAAGCTTTTAGAGGTAAGACTAGACACTTTCTTTACCTTTACCAAAGTTGCTACTAATGATCTAAATCTACAAATGATTTAAATTCAAAAATTACCAATTTCAAACGATTTGTGGAGATTCATTTTTCATCACCTACTACTATCCCAGTGCCAATGGATATTACAGCTTTTTCAATAATAATCTTGTGACAAAAAATACAACTTCTTTGCATCTGCACTGAATTCTTGCATTTCTAACATTCTGCATGCTACTTACTTGCAGCAAATGAAACACCGCAAAAATTATAAATTCCCTTAAAACCACACATTACACAATAACATGCGCAAAAAAGCATATTGAAATGAACAAGCTAGAAAAGAAATAATGTAATAATCCCAAAAGAATAATAAAAACTGTTTAAGAAATATTTTCAAATAAATTAGTAATTTCGAAAGTGGAAAAAATTTGTCGCGTTTTGTCCATAGCGTTTCTGCATGACCGCTCAGTAAAATAGCAAAGAATTGGTAATCAATCGATATACAATTTAATATTCTATATTTTGGTATTTGTAGAATTTTTGATTAAACTCTTAGTTTCGTAACAATTGGATAAAACAGAAGTAAGAACATTTTGAGTTTTATGTTATCAGTACTAAAATTCGAAAATCGGAGGACACTTAGAATATTCGTAACAGAGACCTGCTTGAGATTTTAAATAATTTCCAGAACTCAGCCAATTTTGGGACAGGTAGATCTTCTTACTTTCCCGTATACATATGTATATACGAAGTATTGTAAATAGTGTAGGAAAAGTTATGTAAAGCTGCGGAAAATCGATTTCGAGATTTCAACGGAAATACAGATTTTGGGGTCGATATCAGGGGACCCAAAACGTGTATTTCCGTTGAAATCTCGAAATCAATTTTCCGCAGAATTACATAACTTCCCCTATACTACGTATATTACTCCGTATATACGTACGTATACGGGAAAGTAAAAGAGGGAGGAGCGACTCAGCGTACGGAGGAGGAACGAAAGATCAGGCCGAGCGGAAGGAATGGGCGAGGCGGAAGGAGCGTGTTGAGGAAGAGATAGAGCGGAAAGATCTGGATGGGCAGGGCAAGAGGTGTTGGCTGGACAGCTTGGAAGCCCGAAGGGGAGTGTGGGGGAGGGATGCAGCAATATTAGTGAGACGAATATATGCTTAGAGCGGAAGAGGCTGGATGGGAGGGACGGAAGGTGTTTGCAGGTCAGCCACGGCATGCTAGAAACGCCGCGTCATGGGGAACAGACGGGCGAAGCGTGATGGATGGGAAGAACAAAATGAGCGCAAGGAGCTGGATGGACAGGGCGGGAGCAATGGTAGCCCGATAGAGCGTAGGGGATGAACGGACGTAGAGTTGTTAGCGAGAGGAACCTTTGTAGAGGAATAGGCATGATGGGATGGGTGGAACAGATAGAGCAGAAGGCGCTGGATGGGCACGCCGGGTGTTGTTGGGAGGGCGGCAATGGCAGGCCGGATAGGACGTGCGAGGGAGACAGATGAAGCGTGCGGGGTGAATGAGGCTGCCTAATAGACATTTGTGAGAAATAAGTATCCGGGCAACGCCGTGTAATTAACTAGTATTATATAAATTAACTTATGAAGTTTAATAATTTTAAATTGTCTCCTTGGCACTATCCTTAGTCATTATATTAGCTACCGTGACTGTTGCCTTTACGTAATTCAGCAAGATTTCCCCATCTTTAACATATTTAACAAAGTTTCCTTTCCTAATCATATGCTTGTTCTTTGGTGTGATTTTAAAATTAAACGAACGACCTATCACTGATTGACTATCTGTGTATCCCATAATCGGTCGTTCTACAATCTTATTGAACATCAAATCTATAACTTATGTGACCTATCTCCCTTCACAAATGGCTTCACATATTCATAGTAGCTTGAATCGACAAACCTAATATAAACGAAAATAAATTCCCTATACATTCTAAATAATTTATTCAATACCACCAAGAATAGACTGAACTC